CCACACCCACCAGGACCCTCCACCCAAGAGAAGGGGACAGGTGGCCTGGACAACAGACCCTGGAGCCCCCCGCCCCCGGGCCAGCGGCCACTCTCCCCCGTATACCTCGAATATGGCCAGGCTGGCCTTGGGAGAGGCGGCCGGGTGGGGGGCGGCGGCCGCACTGGCCTCGGCCGAGTCGCATTCGTGAATGGTGACGATTTTGAGCGGCGGCAGGTGCAGGTGTGTGAGGCGGGCATTCTTGAGGTGGTGGAAGTCCCCCTCCGTCAGGGTGTACCTGCCACAGGGCGCACCTGTCAGCTCCCAGCCGCGGGGGGCGCGGCCCGGCCCCACCCCGCCCCCGCCGGCGGCCTGCGGAAGAGGGGGGCCCCAGCCAGCGTCCCGGTGACAGCACCGCCACCCCCAGGCTGTGACCTGGGGCAGCGGCCCTCACCGGCGGCCCTTGTCCTGGGTCTTCCGGCTCTGCTCAAACAGGGCGGCCTCGTTGAAGGAGACCCGGCGGCCGGTGGAGCTGGTGGACAGGAAGTGCTCCGTCTCCTCGTCCTGGCCCTCGGGGTCCTCCCCCCTGCGGTCGGGGTCTAGAGGAGAGCCAGAGAGGGTGGGCCCCGGGTGGGCCGCGCCTCGTCCTGGGCGGGCCGCTGGGCGGGCTGGGGCGGGCGGGGGCGTGGGCGGATGACCGCGGGGCGGGCCGGGCGGGGGCGGCGGGCACTCGCTCATCCGCTCACACACTCACTCGCTCATCACGCGCCTGTGCGCACCTACGCCTGGGCGTTAAGGAAACAGAGATGAGTCGGAATCGAGCTTCGCCCAGTCTGGTGGGGGAGACAGACAGACACAGCCGGTCAGGCGGCCCGAGGGGCAGGCGAGTGGCCGAGGGGCGGGCGGGCAGCGGGGCCGGCGGGCGGCGGCGGGGCCGGGCGCCTCACCTTGGGCGGGGTGGGTGCCGTTGTCTAGGTAGGTGGTGGTGGTCTTCTCGGCTTCCTCCACGGCCCTGGGGAGGGGACGGCAGGCCGAGGAGGGCGTGGGACCTCCGCAGCCCTAGGCGGGCCCCCCGCCCCGCCCCGCCCCCACCCCGGGCGCCTGGGGCCGCACCTGTTAAAGTGCTGGTGCACCTGCCAACAGCGCTTACAGAGCAGCAGTACGCCGGAGAGAACCACCAGGGTGCCGCCCACAAACAGCGACATCACCACGACCAGCAGCACCGAGTTGTCCAGGATGGGGTCCGGCTCGGCCTGCGGAGCCACGGCGTGGGCGTCAGCGCCTGCCCGGCCCGCCCGGGGGCGCCCCGTCCCCCCCCCCCGCCCCGTCAGGTCACGCACTGTGGGACGGCTGGTGGCGTTGTCCCAGGACGCTGTCAGGGCGACCGTGGCGGCGGCGGCGGAGGTGGTGGTGGCCGCCGTGGCCATGGTGGCTGTGGGCTGCATGTTGAGGCTGGGAGGAGTGGCCTGGGGGTGGGGGAAGACGGACAGGGCCCGCTCAGCTGCGGCGTGGCTGGCTCCTCCCCGCGGGGAGCCCCTGGGAGCAAGCGCCCCTCTTCCCTCCTTGCGGGGTGCAGGGCGGAGACAGGGGGTGAGGGCACAGCCCCCCCCCACCTGGCTCTGGGGAGCAGCCCTCAGGGGGCAGGCGCGCGCGGGGGGGGGGGGGCAGAGTGCGTATGTGTGCGTGAGTGTGTCACACCACCTCCACAGCCGGTGTAGCCGGCCCAGCAAGGTAGGGAGGGCTGGGAGCCCTGCCCAAGAAAGCGAAATCACCGGGAGCAATGGGGAAACTGAGGCGGGAGGCTCACTCGGGCAAGACCCCTGGCGCCCCCTGCACCCCGTGACGGGCGGCCGGAAGCGGGGGAGGTGGGACCGCCCCAGCCAATTCCAGGTGCGCCCTGGCAGGGGCCCCATCCAATGGGAGGGGGCAGCGCTCCCGGGCACAACTCAGGATGAAGACCCCCCCACCCCGTGCGTCGCCGCCGGTGGGAGGGGTAAGGATGAAGGCGGCGCATCTGCTCCCGGCCCCAGGAATCCTGTTCCCATGGCGACCGGGCCGAGCGCGCCGCGGCGGGGGGCGGGTTGCCAGGGAGCGCGGGGGAGGGGGCGCGGCGCGGGGCCCGCGGTCTCCTGCAGGGGCGGGCGCGCCACGGCCCGCAAGATGGCTGCTGCGCGCCGCCTGCCCGCCCGGCCGTGCGCGCCCCGGGCGGCCTCCGCGCCTGGCAGTCTCCAGGGGGAAACTGAGGCTGCGGTTGGAAGGGGTGGGCTTCGTGCCCGGGGAAGGGGCTGCCTGGAAGCTCGGCCCAGGCGGGGAAGGACCATGGACCGTCAGGAAGCCGAGGCCACGGGGAGGATGATCTGCAGCCCCGAGCCGGCCTGGCACGCGCGCTCTGCCCAGGGACCAGGGTAGAGGCGCCGGCGTCGCCGGCCCCGCGCGCCTCGGCGCGGGACGCAGGCCGGCCCGCATTCCCGGCATTGGGGGAGGGGCCGCAGATGTAGGTCGCGAAAGGAGTTCAGGCTGGAGGGGGTGGGGCAGAGGCGCGGGGAGGGTGGCCGGGGCCGCCGAGCGCGCCCCTGGGGAGAGCCGACGAGATCCGAGGGTGCAGGGCCTCCCTGGGAGCCCCGCGCCCCGAGCAGGGCTTGGGGGGAGGGTGGCGGGGAGCCCGACGCCATCGCTCGCGCCCGAGCTCGCAGCGGGAAACTGAGGCTGGCGCAGGATGCGGGCGGGGTCCCTTCCCCGCAGGCCCGGCCGGTGGTCCCGATCCAGGGCGGCCCCCCCCACCGCCCGCCCCGTGCAGCCCCGGGCCCGCCGCGCCTACCTCAGCGCCGGGGCGTGCAGCCCATGGGCGGGCGGCGGGCGGCGCTCCCGGCTGGCTCCGGTGCCGCGGAGCCGGTGGAGAATTTATGAATGGAGAGTGCGGCGCGCGGGGGAGGCCGCGCGGGGAGGGGCCGCGCACGTGACCGCGTTGGCGGCGCGCCCGCTCCGGCCCGCTCGGAGGGCCCGGTGCCGCCCGGTCCCAAGCTGGCCGCCCACGCCGCGACCGCCGCCGCGTCTGGCTCCTCGCGCGTCGGCCACCGCCTCCCTTTCCCTTCCGGCGGGGGCGGGGGGCGGAGCCTGTGCGCCCGGGCGCCCCTCCCGCGGCGGCCGAGTCTCCGCCCCCGGTGCCCAAGACACGACTCACCTAACGCGGGCCCTCGGGTCCCCAGGGGCGCTGTGGGATGCACGACTGCCCCGAGCCCGGGGTCCCTAGCGCCCGGCCGGGTCGGCCAGGGGCGCACCGCCGGGACCTCGGACGACACCACTTTCCCCAGCCCCGGGGGCCCCTGTGCTCCCCCCGGGATCTGTCCTGGGCTCGCCACGGCCGACGGCCTCTCTGCCCCCCCCTCCCCGCCACACAACAGCACACCAAAAACACAGCTACCCTAAGAGGCCCGGGCTCGAACTCGCGGCCCCGGAGGCCTGGCCTCACGACCGCACCTGCCCAAACCTTGCTCTGGCCTCTCCCTCCTAGAGCAACCGGCCCCCACCGCCTCGGAGCTGCAGAGGCCGGCAACAGGCTACCAGCCGGCCCGGGGCCAGGCCATGCCGGACAGCGCGCAGCGCGCCCCCTCCCCACGCGGCTGTTCGCGGGCCCGACTCAGCCCCACGGTCCACCACCGCGCCTCCCGGGTGTTTCCCGCACTGCTGTGGGCCCGGGGGCAGGCACTGGGTGGCTGGGCCGTGGGCTCAGTCCGCAGCTGGGAGCGCACCGATAAGTGCTTGTCTGGAGCGCTCAGGTGGACTGGACCCCCGAGGGGAGGGAGAAAGGGGTGTGCAGACTGCACGGGGCGGGGGTCGCGAGGAGCCTGGGGTCCTTCCGGCCAGGGGTGGTGGACGCACCCGGCCGGGCCGGACTTCGGCGGTAACACCCAGTGCGTGAGGCCTCAGAGTGGGCGCTGCTGGCTGCGGGAGCCCCGGGCTCAGAACACTGGGGTGGGGAGGGCGCACAAGGCCCGGCGAGGCGAGGAGGGTGCCCCTCTTGGCCGGCCGGGGCCCCTCAAGCTGCCCGAAGTCAAGGAGGTGGGAGCGCGCAGCCCGAGCTGTGGGGGCCCCAGCAGTGCACGGCAGGCTCACGTCCGAGGTGCACCTGCAGGTGCGGGCCCACGCGTGACCACGACCCTCCCTGCCTCGCCGTGGCGCGGGCCAGGCCGTCTCCGCGGGGAGCTGCCCCCGCCCCCACAGCGGACCCCGCCGAGTACCCCAGCCCCGGGGGAGGGGGGCCGGGGCCGGCTCAGGGCTGCGGAGCTACGCGAGCGCGGGGGCGGGCCGGTGACGTCATGCCCGCGAGCGAGGCTGCGCGGGACGCGGCTGACGTCAGCGGGGACCCGCGCCGCCCGCGCACGCGCTCCTGCGTCAGCGGCGCGCGGGGGCGGCGGCCGCGCGGGGGCAGGAGCGCAGCGAGCGCATCTCCGGGCTGCGGGCGCCCCCTGCCGGCGCCGTGGGCCGCAGCACCTGGAACGCGCGCACCTGCACCTGCCGCCGCGGCCCACGGCGCCCCCTTCCCCTGCTCGCCTTCGGCCCCTCCTAACATCGCACGATGTCGGGCGCCACTCAGCCGGGGAGGGGGTGGGTGCCAGTGCTTGGTCCTAATCACGCACGGGCCTTTGTTTTAAAAGATCTATGCGCTTGTCTCTCGGAGCTATAGATTCATGCACCAGGCGGACTACTCGTTTGCATCACTGGCCCGCTCCAGAAAGGGCAGACGTCGGGAAACTGCCATCCCGAGGTCCCCATCCCGTGCAGGACCGTCTAGCCGCCCCGCACCTGGCCCTCGGGCTCCCCCGCCGCCGCGGCCGGAGGAAACTACAACCCCCAGCACGCTCCGCGGCACATGACGTCAACACCGCGCGCCACCCGTCGGGAGTCGTAGTTCGCGCATGCGCCGTTTCGGGAACTCCTGCTCCCAGACGCCCCTGCGCGTCGTCCTCCTCGCCCTCCAGGCCGCCCGCGTCCGCCGCAACCGCTGAGCGCCCGTTGCCCGCCTTCGTTCGCCGCCCGCCGCCCGCCGCCCGCCTTCGTTCGCCGCCGCCGCCGCCATGCTGCCCGCCGCCCTGCTCCGCCGCCCGGCTCTGGGCCGCCTGGTGCGCCAGGCCCGCGCCTACGCCGAGGCCGCCGCTGCCGCGGCCCCCGCAGCCGGCCCCGGCCAGATGTCCTTTACCTTCGCCTCCCCGACGCAGGTCTGGACGCCGCGCCCCGGCCCCGCAGCCCCCGGCCCCGCCGCCCCCTCCCCGGCGTCGCCCCCTCCCCGCCGCCGCCCCCGCCCCCGCCCCCGCCCCGGCGCCGCCGCCTCACTGCCCGCCCCGTCCCCCCCAGGTGTTCTTCAACGGCGCCAACGTGAGGCAGGTGGACGTGCCCACGCTGACCGGCGCCTTCGGCATCCTCGCGGCGCACGTGCCCACCGTGCAGGTGCTGCGGCCCGGGCTGGTGGTGGTCCACGCCGAGGACGGCACCACCTCCAAGTACTTCGGTGAGCGCGCGCGGGGGCCGCAGCGCGGGGGCGGGGGCGCGCGGGTCCACGCGGGGCGCGGCCTCAGCCCGGCCTCCCCCGTGTCCCGCAGTGAGCAGCGGCTCCATCACGGTGAACGCCGACTCTTCCGTGCAGCTGCTGGCCGAGGAGGCCGTGACGTTGGACATGCTGGACGTGGGGGTGAGCGTGCCCGGGGCCGGCCGCGGGGAGGGGGGGCGTCCCGGGGGTCCGGCGCTCACCCCGCCCCCCCCACCGACGCCGGGGCCGGCCGCGGGGCGGGGGGCGTCCCGGGGGTCCGGCGCTCACCCCGCCCCCCCCCACCGACGCCGGGGCCGGCCGCGGGGGGGGGGCGGCCCGGGGGTCCGGCGCTCACCCCGCCCCCCCCCCCGCAGGCTGCCCGCGCGAACCTGGAGAAGGCGCAGTCGGAGCTGGCGGGGGCCGCGGACGAGGCGGCCAGGGCCGAGGTCCAGATTCGCATCGAGGCCAACGAAGCCCTGGTGAAGGCGCTGGAGTAGGCGGGGCCCGGCGCGCTGCAGTCGCCCCCTGCGTCTCGAACCTCGTGGGGGGCCGCAAGCTCCCCCAGACCTCGGACGGGCCGGGGTCTGTCCCCTGGTGGGAGTCTCCTCGCAGTCCCCTCCCCAAGCTGACCGGCGGCACAGCCCGCCTTCCATTAAACACCGGCGGCCGGCCTCGTGTGAGCGGGTGCCGTGGCTGCCGCCCGCGCTCTGCGGCCCCCACGCCTCTGTCCTCTCCCTGTGCTGTGGGGTTGGGGCCCCTGGGGGGGCGGTGATGGGGTGGGGGCGTGGCCGCCAGGCGGACGGACAGACTCCTGCGCCCTCTGCCCGGGCTCAGCCCCAGGCTGGCGGTGTGGCCAGCAGGCGAGGCCCCGCCCGCTCCCACGGAAACCCCGCCCCGAGCCCCCGTGGCCGGCTCCCCGGACCCCACTGGTGTCGGCCCTGCCGCGAACGCAGGCCCGCGACCCCAAGGCTGCGGCCGGGTCCCACCGGGGTGCCGCCCCGGGACTGGCCACGAGGGGGCGCCTGGCTGGGTGTGCGGAGCGCTGAGGTCAGACTGTGTCACAGCCCCGTGCAGGTGACTCCCCAGGGACGCCCCCGCTTCCCCTGCCCGGACCCCCCACTTCCCGTCCCCCATCCTGGTCTGGCTGCTATAAATAAGACCAAGGACAGCGCTGGGGCCTGGCAGGGGCCCAGGACCGGCGTCCCCACACTGACGCGGGGCCACGCGCCCGGCAGGTGTGGGTCGGTGCTGGCCAGGCTGCCCTGGGGCAGGAGGCAAGACCCGGCTGGGCGCTTCCACCTGGGGGGGGGGGGCAGGTGGGAAACAACCAGGACTCCCTGGGCGTCAGGTCGTGGGCTCTGGAACGCTGGCCCCCGCGACCCCCTGCCCGGAGCTCGCCCAGCCTCTGCCTGCCGGGCAGCCCCGGTGTCATCTGGCTGCCCACCCCAGCAGTAGCCTCCCCCCAACAGTGTGGCCAGCAGGGGTCGCCCAGCACGCCCTCTGCCCCACCCCCACCCTGTCTCACTTGCTGGGAGCAAGACCCCTATTCCTGTCTCAAGCTGCCCCCCACCCAGTGTTCTCCCACCCTCTGGCTGCCCTGCGCCTGGGGTGGGGGAACCTGGGAGGGGCTCCAGGGTGGGGGCGGGGTGGCCAGGCCAGATAAAAGGAGAAGGCAGATAAGTGGACAGCAGGTGGTGGCCTGGAGCCCCACAGCGGGGCAAGACAGCCCCCGCCTCCCTGCCTCCCGGGCCGTCCCCAGGAGCAACGCCCAAACTGGGTGGCTGTCCACCCCGGAGGCGGGGCAGGGCCACGTGTGCATGCGTTTGTGGCCCGGGAGAGGCCCCCACGCGGGTCCGCGTCCCAGGGCCGGGACTGCCGGGGAGGGGGGGTCTGCTGCCTGCCCTGGCACCGGAGACACAGGCCCAGGGAGCCGAGGTCGCTTCCAAGGCCGGACACGGGCTTGGCGCTGGGCAGCCGGCCCGAGTGCCCTCTGAGGTCACCGGTAAGGGATGCGGGAAGCCAGGCGCTGGCCCAGGCACCCCGCACCCCCGCGGCCTGTTCTGCTGGGCGGCGGAAGGACGCTCCGGGCCTGCGGGGACAGGAAGGGGGGACAGGGCAGGAGCCCGGCTGCAGACCCCAAGCCCCAGTTTCGGGGCGCGCTGGGGTCTCCGGCCCGGCGGCACGCCTGTGGTGCCCATCCCCTGGGCAGAGTTAGGGGCCCCGGTGACCCGGGCCGGCGGCGCTCCGGGTCCCTGGCCGGCGGGCAGGGGCGGGGGCCGGCTGCGTCAGCGCCCGCCCGGCCCCCCGCCCCTTGCCCGCCACGACTCCACCCCGAGGGAAGGCGGCGCGGATAAAGGCGCGGGGGCCGCCCGCCCGGCCCCAGACCGGCCCGGCCACCGCGCGCAGCTTCCCGTACGCGAAGCCCCCAGGACTGCGGGGACCCAGGACCCTCCGGGCCGGGTGAGTGGGGGGCGGGACCAGGCGCCGAGGAGGGCCCCCGCTCCAGCCGGTCGGAGGCGCGCCACTTCCTTTGTTCTCCGCCGGGGCAGGCAGGTTCCTGAGTGCCTCCGACCTGAGGAAGCCCCCGGAGGTGTGGGGTGGGAGGGGCTCCGCGCAGTCGGCACCGCCCCGGCGGGGCCGCAGCCCCCGCTCCGCCCCCCCCCGGCAGTGACCTTGAACTAGTTGTTCCGGCCTCAGTTTCCCCGTCTGCGCGACCCTCGGCTGCAGACGCGGAGTCTCGCGCCCTGAGAGGGTGCTCCCCCACGCCCGCAGTCTCGTTACCCTCCTTCCCGGCCGGGGGCAGCGCTGCGCCCCCTCCCCCGGGATTCCGGGCGACGCTTCCGCGCCGAGCCGGCAGGGGGCGCGCCGGTGCTGCTGACTCACCGCGGCCACGAGCCGTGCGCGCGGGCGCAGCCGGGGACGCCGCGTCACGTCACGGCTCGGGCGGGCGCGTCTCGGGAACCGGGCCCGGCCCGGGGGCCGGGCGGGAGGGAGGTGGCACCGGCTCGGGCGGGGCTCCCGGCGGCCACGTCACCGAAGGGCAGCGGCCCCGCCCTCCGCGCCGCCCCGACCTCCACGCCCACCCACGGCGCGGGTGGGGGCGAGCCGGGCCAGCGCCCCTCGTTCGGGGACCCCGGCCACGAGGCTTGGGGTTCGCGTTCCCGCTTCCGCTCGCGGGTGCTTCCCGGACGAACGAGGCGGGGAGGTCCCACGACTTCCTGCTTCTGCCGCCCCCTCCCCACGCCCTCGCCGCGCTCCCGGGGACGCGTGGGGGGTGCCACTCGACCCGGGGCCGGGGTCCCGCGCCCCTCCGGGCCCGACCGCCCTTTGTTGAGGGCGCCAGGCTCTTATGAATGGCTCCCGGCGCGGGCGGGGGCAGCGGGGGCGGGCGCGGCGCGGCGCCAGCCCCGCCCCCGCCGCGCTCCCCTTGGTCGCCCGGGCGCCGGGGGCGGGGACAGGGGCGGGCCTCGCTGCCACGTGGGGCGGTGCCGCGGCGGCGTTGATTGGCCGGGCTGCGCGGCCGACGGGGCGTTCCGCGCGCGCTGATTGGCCGGCGCGGGGCCGGCGGAGTAAGTAGTGAATGGGAGGGGGCGGCGGCTCCGCCCCTTGGAACGTTGATACATTATAACTTTTTTTTCTTGTTACTTTCACCCCCAGATCCTCCGAGCGGCGGCGGCGGCTGTTGCTAAGGGAGGGGACGCGCGACCCGAGCGGCGGACGGCACGGAACGCGGCTGGCCGAGTGGGCCCCCTCCTCCGAGACCCTCCCCCGCGCCGCGCCCGGGTCAGCGCGCTTCCCCCGGTAGAGAAGCCGCGAGCGCAGCCCCCACCCCGGAAGGTGCACCCAGGAGCCGCCGCGACCCCCGAGCGCCAGTCGGATTTTTTTTTTGGCTTTCCTTGCGCCGCCGGGACGTCCTCAGGGGAGACCCGCGCCGCCCCCAACGCCCGGAGCATCGCGGCTCGGCGGATTCCCGGACCCGACGCCGGCGGCGCGGCGAGGATTGGCGGCGCCCCGCGGAGCCCAGCCCCCCAGCGCGCGCCGGGGATGGAGCCGCAGCCCGGCGGCGCCCGGAGCTGCCGGCGAGGGGCCCCCGGCGGTGCCTGTGAGCTGGGCCCGGCGGCCGAGGCGGCTCCCATGAGCCTGGCCATCCACAGCACGACGGGCACCCGCTACGACCTGTCGGTTCCGCCCGACGAGACCGTGGAGGGGCTGCGCAAGCGGCTGTCCCAGCGCCTCAAAGTGCCCAAGGAGCGCCTGGCGCTGCTGCACCGGGACACGTAGGTACCGCGCGCGGCGCGCCCCCACCCCCGCGCCGCCCGCCCCCTCGGGCCGCGGCCCCCGGGCGCGAACAAAGAGCGCGCCGCGCGCGCGGAGGCAGGGGGCGGCCAGACGGGGGGCGGGGGCGCGCCGCGCGCTCTCGGGCGCCCTCTGCTCGGCCTTGCCTGCCTCGGCCCCCTCCCCCGCCCGGGGTCGCCGCACAAAGGCGGCGGCGGCGGCGGCGAGGCGCCCGGGGCCGGGCTCCAGCGGGGCCCCCTCGTGGGAATGCAGGAAATCCCAGCGTGGCGCGGGGGGTCCGTGAGCGGCGGCGGCGGCGGCCGCGGGGGGGGGTGGCTGGCAGGGCCGCGCCGCCCCCTCCTCTGCCTGCACCCGCGCCGCTTCCGCATCTGCTCCGCAGCCCCCTCCGCGTCTGGCGCCCCCCCGTGTCCCGTGCCCCGCTTTGTTCTCGCCTCTCCGCGTTCCCCGCTGCCTCCCCTCCCCCCCGATATTTAAATCGCCTCCGGGCCGGGCAGCCCTCCCCCCGCGGGCCTCCGGGGACACGCAGTGTCCATCCCCAGCGGAGGGGCCCCGTGGGGGAGGGGCGCGGGGGAGGGGCTCCTTTGTCTGCGCGGTGGTAGCGGCGGCCTGCGCCAGGGAGGAGGGGGAGCCCAGCCGGTAGCGGCCACGGAGGCGCGCCCAGGCCTGGATGTGGGCGACCGGGGACCGGGGTTGGACGCCGGTGGGCCCTGGGTCTCCGGGGCCGAGGCGGAGCCTCCCCCAGGCGAGCGGAGGACCCCTGAGTCTCAGAGTTGAGGTTCCGGGGGGAAGAGGGGTGTGACCCCGGAGCATGGGGGCTCCCAAGTGGGCGTCCCGCAGGCCCTGGGCTCTGGAGCCGCGAGTGGGTGGGAGCGACTTCCCGGACCCCCGCGCGGCCCGCGCTTCCGCGTCCCCGCGGCCCTCCCACCCCCAGTCTCATCCTCTTCCTTCCTCCCCCCGCAGCCGGCTCAGTTCGGGGAAGCTGCGGGAGTTTGGCGTGGGGGATGGCAGCAAGCTGACGCTGGTGCCCACCGTGGAAGCGGGTCTCATGGTAATGGCTCCGGAGCCGCCCCTGCCAGGCGGCCCAGCCCACTCCCCGCGGGGCCGCCTCCCCGGCCAGGGCAGCGCCAGGCCCCAGCACCCACCTCACACACCTCTTCCTCTCTTTGTAGTCCCAGGCCTCCAGGCCGGAGCAGTCTGTAGTCCAAGCCTTGGAGAGTCTGACCGAGACCCAGGTAAGATCGCACCGCCCCTCCCTCACCTGCAGGGGGAGGGGGCAGCCGCCGACCAGGGCCCGGGGCCATTTGGAGAGAGTGGGTTGGAGTTCCCTGGGGCCTGTGCGCTGGAGGCCAGCTGGGCCCGGTCACCCAGCCCTGCCCGCCCCCAGCCACCTGACCTTGAGGGCGCTCTCTCCCACGGTGGCAGCCATGGGCGGGGTGACCTTGGCCCACGCTCACACCCGGGGCCTGCACACACCCCCCCCACCCCCCCCCAGTGCTGTGGCCTCCGAGAGCCGGCAGTTTCTCCTTTTCGAAATCTTTGCGGTGGGGGCGTGAGGGCTGGTGCGGGTGCCGCCTCTGGGAGGGGGGTGGGTCAGCACCCCCTCCTCCTCTCTCTGGTCTTTGTTCTCCGCCCCGGCGGGGGAGGGGCGGGCACCCAGACAGGATGTTAGAAGAACTCTTCAGTAAGCAGCCGGCGGAGGCCCGGGCTGGCCCCGGCTCGGGTTCCCGATTTTGCTGTCGCCTTTATTCTCCCTTCCTCATTCTCTGGGCCGTGGTGGCTGGGCCACCTCCCAGGAGGGCGGCACGGGCGGGGGGAGCCGGCTGAGCGGCTTCGGCGGCCGCCCCAAGGCCATCGCCCCTTCCTGGCGTGTAGCGTCCTGCCCTGGCCAAGCCCCGCGGGGGAGGAGGGGGCCGTGGGGCTGCAGCTGGGTGGTCTGGCAGCAGGGCCGGCGGCCAGGTGGGGGGGCAGGGCTAGGGGGTCCCCGCAGCTGAGGTGGGGGCCCCGGGTGGCTTCCTGGGCAAGTGCGGACAGGGCGCCCTGACCCCGGGGCGGGTGGGCGTGGGGGCAGGGGCCTGTTTGGTTCTCAGCCTGCCTCAGGAGGGAGGGGGTGCTGGGCTGGGCTCCCCGGGTTGCTTCCCTGCCTGGCACAGAGTCGCACACGCCCATTGCCCTCCCCTGGGAGGAAGTTGTAGGGTGGCGGAAGGGGGGGACCCCAGCTGCTCCCAGGAAGCCACCCTGGGCCCTTCCTGCACGGGGTGTCTGCGGGCCAGGGGGCAGTGCAGTGCAGTGCAGTGCAGACCGCGCGGGGGGGGCTGCATCTTGCCCACTCCGCGCCCCCCCCCCCCCCGGGCTGCAGGCAGGGAATGTTACGCCAGCCGGCTGTGAGTCATCGGCCTCTGTCACTTCTCAGAAACCTCCCCCCCTCCCCGCCTCTGGAGAGGACGAGGCTGGCCAGGCCCCAGAATGGGTGCCCAGTGTGGACGGGACACACACAGGTCTCGGGGGGGGGGGGGCAGGCTGGACAGCTGTTGGGGCGTTGAGACCCTGGGGGACACCCGCCCGAGGGGTCTGGTCAGGGCCCCCTTCTGGCCGCTCCTGGGCCCCTGCCCCGCCCGGGACAGATAAATATTTATCTTCAGAAAGCAAAGGTTAGGAAGGAAAAATTCACCCAGGAATTCCACCCACACGCCGGCCAGGCTGGGTGCCTGGGGTTGCCCCCTCCCCCTGCCGTCTTTGGGGACAGGAGAGAGAGGCGACCAGTGAGGGTTCCCATCGGAGGGCGGTGACCACCAGCTGGGCCCTGCCCCCTCGGGCCCCAGCCTCAGCTTCCAAAGACCCGAGTGGGCCAGGGCGGCCGGGGCCCATCTGACCGCCTCTGTCCCCCACAGCCCCCAGCAGCGCCTGGGCCGGGCCGGGCTGGCCGAGGAGGTTTCCGGAAGTACAGATTCATTTTATTTAAGCACCCGTGGCACCGACAGGGACCCCAGAGCCCAGAGAGGGGCGGCGAGAGGCCCCAGGTCACACAGCGCGGGGGGGGCCGGGCCGGGCCGGGCTGGGGGCGCTGCGGGCGAAGGCCCCTGGCTCACGGGCCCGCGCTGGTCCTCTGCAGGTCAGTGACTTCTTGTCGGGCCGCTCGCCGTTGACCCTGGCGCTGAGAGTGGGCGACCACATGATGTTTGTGCAGCTGCAGCTGGCCGCCCAGCACACCCCGCTGCAGCACCGGCACGTGCTGGCCGCCGCAGCCGCTGCGGCCGCCGCCGCCCGAGGAGACCCTAGCATCGCGACCCCCGTGGCTTCTCCCTGCCGGCCCGTGTCCGGCGCCGCCCGAGTCCCCCCAGTGCCCGCCAGCCCTCCCCCCACGCCTGTCACAGCCGGCTCCTTCCGGTCCCACGCAGCCTCCGCCGCCTGCCCCGAGGTGAGTCCGGGCACCCCTGGGCCCCGGGGGTCCCCACGCTCCTCTCTCCCGCGGCCCCCCGGCTCACTGCGCGCCCCCGTGTTCCCGCCAGCAGGTGGACTGCTCCCCCGCCGCCAGCAGCAGCGCCAGCCCTGGTGCCAGCACGTCGTCCCCCCCGGGGGGCAGCCCTGCCGCCCGCGCCCGCACCCCCGGAGCCGTCATCGAGAGCTTCGTGAACCACGCCCCGGGGGTCTTCTCAGGGACCTTCTCCGGTAGGTGGCGCGCCCCAGGGAGGCACGCCCCCGGCCCGCGGCCCCGCCCCCTCGCCGGACCTCACGGCCCCTCCCGCCCACAGGCACGCTGCACCCCAACTGCCAGGACAGCAGCGGGCGGCCGCGGCGGGACATCGGCACCATCCTGCAGATCCTCAATGACCTGCTGAGCGCCACGCGGCAGTACCAGGGCGTGCCGCCCTCCCTCAGCCAGCTGCGCTGCCACGCCCAGTGCGCGCCCGGCCCGCCCAGCCCCGACCTCGCCCCCAAGACTACCTCGGCGCCCCCAGCCGCCCTGCTGCAGGGCCAGAGCCAGATCCGCATGTGCAAGCCCCCCGGTGAGTGCCCCCCCTTGGCTCGAGGCCCCTCTGTGAGCGGCGGGCGCGGGAACAGCTGCCCCGCCCGGGGCCGGCAGCTGCGGCCCCCTCCCCGCGTGCTGCCGGCCCGAGAGAAGGAGCCGAGTGTGCTGGGGCACAAAGTGGCCTTGTCTGCTCCCGGGGGCCGCAGCCCCACTTCCTCCCCCCCCCTCCAGATGGCACTCGGGGACTCTGTGAATGAGCAAGTCAGGGCCGCTGTCCTGGGGGGGCGGGGGCTGGCAGACGCACCTGGGTCACGCTAGCCCCCTGGGGTCAGGCGGCTCCCCGCGGGCTCGGGGTCACTGGCGCTGTCTCGCAGGGGACCGGCTGCGGCAGACGGAGAACCGCGCCACGCGCTGCAAGGTGGAGCGCCTGCAGGTGCTGTTGCAGCAGCGGCGCATGCGCAGGAAGGCCCGGCGGGACGCCCGCGGCCCCTACCACTGGCCGCCCAGCCGCAAGGCCAGCAGCGGCGGCGGCGGCGGCGGCGGCGGCGGGGGCGGCAGCCCCGGCGAGGCCGCCGGCCTGGGCCTGGACTTCGAGGACTCCGTGTGGAAGCCGGAAGTCAACCCCGACATCAAGTCCGAGTTCGTGGTCGCCTAGGGCCGGCGCCCCCCCCCCCCCCCCAGGAGCAGCCTCTCTCTGTGTCCAGTCCTCACCGTCCCCGTGGCCTTGGCCTCCTGCCCCCCCTGCGCGCCCACAGTGCCCGCCCCTTCCTCCCTCGCCCAGCGGGTCCCTCCCCGCCCCCTCCCCAGCTCCAAATATGTAGCAGTCTTTCCAGATGGCTGAGACGAGGAAGCCGCCCCCACCCCCTTCCGCTCTGCCTTCCTCCCCCCACCCTATTCAGGTTTTAAGTCAAAAATGTAGATGCCTCATTATGCACTTTACAGAGAGGGGGGGACCCTTCCCGCCCCCACCGCGGACTTCCGGCCTCCACCCACCCACCTGTCGACCCAGGAGCCAACCAGGGGAACTGTGTTCTGCCACGTTTTTTTTTTTTCTCTCCGGTTTCTTTTTCCATTTTCCCTTTTTCTTTAGACAAGCGAAGCTGTTTCAGGGGGCTGCCTTGGGTCGGGCCAGGGTCAGCGACCCTTCCCTCGGGGAGCAGGCCGCCCCCCCCCGGGGGGGCTGCGGGGGTCCCTGATGCCCACCCGCGTCCTCCGCCTGTGTCCCCGGCCTGGCTGAGCTTGGGTATTTATAGACTATTCGCTTTCTGACTGAGCCAATGGAGGTTGGGAATCTGGCGAACGTGGGAGAGAAGTGGCTGGGGGGGGTGACGGAGCCCCCCCCCCACGCCCCCTCCCGGCCCAGCCTGAGGGATGTGAGACTGTGGTCTGGGGTCCTCCCTGGAGCGGATGGGAGCTGTGGAAGCCCTGGCGACACTGTAGCATTAGCCCCCTGAGGGGGGGTCCGCTGCTGGTCTGACTTGGACCCTCCCCATTCCGGTGCCCGTGCCCTGGGGGGAGGGGTCGTTGGCCCCTGGGGCAGAGGGATAGACCCCCCCCGTTGGGGGTGGGTTCTCTGTGGGTTTCTCCCCCCCCCTTCACTTTTGTTTGTTGATGATGATGGGTCCTGCCCACCCCTGTCCGTCTCCAGGCCCCTTTGTAGGTGACCCCAGTCCTCACCCCCACCGCGTGTCTCATGGTTTCTGAGGATGTGAACTTAATGTGTTAACTGTAGCTCTGTAAACTCGTGTGGGGGGTGGGCGGGGAGGGTCGCAGACAGTGCAGATGGAGGGGTTGGTTTTTTTGTTTTGTTTTTGTGTTTTTTTTCCAAAAAAAAAAAAGGAAGAAAAAAAAGCAGGGGCGGGTTTGTTTTTGAAGAACTGTCTTGGATACCTATTTAAACGTGTGTTGTGGTGTTTTATGACGATTTTTAAATATTCTGCCTGAGGGGTCCCCCAAGGGGGGGGGTCGCGCTGGGAGCCTGCTGCGCACTAGGGTCTCCAGGAATAAAAGCAGCCACAGGACAAGCGCAGCCTGGTCGCCTGGGGTGGGGGATGAGGCCCCCAGACGGCTCCCACCCCCCACCCCTCCCTCCCGGCTTGGGGGCTGAGCAGGAAGCTACAGGGTGGAGGAGGGAGGGCCCGGCCACTTCCTGGTACCCAAGGCCGGAAGTCCTCCGGGGTGTGGGGCAAGGGCCTGGCCTGGCTGCTCGCTGCGTGCCCTGGGTGGGGCCTGGGACACCCGTGGATCTCGGTTCTCAGCCGCGGGTGGGGGTGGGGAAGTCTCCCCACGGGCCAGCCTGGGGCTGTGCCACTGCGGGGTTTGGGGGGGCGCCCAGACCGAAGCCCCCAGGAACCAGGGCTGAGGTCGCCGCAGCCCAGTGCCTGGGGCTGGCGTCCAGGCCTCCGGGCTCGGTGACCTCTCCTGCCCTCTGTGGCCACGCCTCAGTCTGCATTCCAGCCCTGACCAGCAGGGATCCAACCCACGGCCCTTTGCCCTGGCCGTGCCCTATCCAGGAACACCCCCGCCTGGCGGGGCCCTGCTCGGCCTGGGAGGTGACCCAGCCCGCAGCTCTCCCCCCTGCTGGGCCCGGGGTCCCCTCTGTGCGGGCTGCGGGCCTTGGTGGCCAGGACAACCCTGCTGCGCCCCAGGACCCCGGCCTCAGAAACCACACGGGGGAGGTGGACGGGCCGGGGTGGCCCCGGACGCCTTCCTGGGCAGGGCGGCCCCTAGCACCCTGTCACCCCTACGCCACGCCACGCCCACGCGGGATGCCTGTGCGGCTGAGCCCTCCAGACCTCTCCCCGGGCGCCAGTGTCCCCGGAGGTGGCCGGGATCAGGGGGGTCCCCACTGCCCAGGCCTGCGTGACCCGGGTCACCGCCTCCCCGGGGCTAGGAGGGGGACCAGGAAGGAGGCTGTTTGCGCCCTGGAGGGCTGGGGTCGTGCAGGCCCCCTGCTGTCCGGGAGCCCACCCCTCCGAGTGCGGCCGCCTGCCCCCCACCGCCACGGGAAAGCCGGCCGTCCAGGCGGCGCCGCGGGGGCAGGGGTCCGAGGAACGCAGTTCTACCGGGGGCGGAAAAGGGGGCCCCCATGCCCCGGTGAGCCTGGGCGCCGGGGCTCGGCCGGCGGAGGGGCGCAGCGGCCGGCGGTGAGGCGGGGGCACAGACAGGTAAACTGAGGCGCAGGGTTCCCAGGGGGCGGGGTCGGCCTGGCACGGCTCCCTCCCCGCAGTGAGGAAAAAAATGAATGGGAGGGGGTGGCCCCCGGAAACGCTCTGGGATGGAAACGCGGTTCCCTAGGCAACGCACTGCGAAGGGAGGCTGACGTCACCGCGGGGCGGGAGCCCCGCCTGCCCCCGTCCGCGCGGCCTGGGGCCCAGGCCTCGCCCACGTCGGCGGCGCCTCATTGGTGGCCGTCCCGTTCGGTTACAGGCACGCACCAGTCAAAGCGCGGGGTGGTCGCCTGGAGGCGGGACTTCAGCTCGAGTGGGTTCAGTGCGCACGCGCGAGCGGAGAGGCGCCGCCGCCCCGCCTCTCTCCCGCGCGCCGGCAAATTGGGGGCGGGCGACGCTGACGGCTGCAGCCGGGCCTGGACGGAAGAGGGGGCGTTCCTGGGGGCGCCGCACGTGGACCCCCCCAGCACGGTCACGCTCGCGTGCACCCCGCCGTTTCTTTGCCACCCCTGCTCCGGGTCCCCGAGCCCGACCCCTGCTCGCCCCCTGCAGCTCCCACGCCTCCAGGAGCGACGTGGGGGAGGGGCCGTGGGGCAGAGGCTGTGCCGAGTTGGGGGGCGAGGGGGTGGGTGCTGCAGGTGGGGAGCACGGCGCGTGCACGGGCACGGGGCCGTCCAGCTGACCCCGCGGTCAGAGGCCCTGACGCCCAAGAGGCGGCTGGACAGGACCCTGGTGGGGGCAGGAGGTGGAGTGGAGGCGGGCGTCGTGCCCTGCGGCCGCGTCCGGCTCCCAGGGAGGTGGTCGCAGGGGCCGGGCGGGCCTCGAGTGCCACACTGCTGACCAGCCTGCCCCGGCCCTCTGCCCACGGAGCCGCCGGAGCGAGCAGGGTGGGTGTGCCCTTCCCGGTGGGCAGGATGTGAGCCATCCAGGGCTAGTCCCTGGCTGTCCAGGAAGACAGCCGATGGGAGACCTGGGAAGAGGCCGGCCGCGTGACCGGCGTGGCTGCTCAGGCAGGGGGGAGCCCTGGCCGCGGGGGTGACCTCACAGGTGGGCCGTGCCTCCCGGTAATGAGCAGCCGTGGGCGGGCAGAGGTCGCTGGGGGTCACTGTCTCAGGCGGAGCCCCCTGGGGGCGGCCAAAGGGGCACTTGGGGAGCTGGGGCCGGCAGGTGGCCTCAGACGGCCGGGCAGCAGGGGGAGAGCCAGGCCCCGGGCCAGCAGCCATGCAGGAGATGGGGCTGAGCGGGTGCCCGGGGCACAGCCGCCCCCACGGGCCCGGTGCCACCCCACCCTCTCGTCCAGGCGCCATGGGAATGGGCGTTCCGGAGCTGCAGGCCGGGGACGCCACCACCCCGTGGCCAAGGGCGTTGGGGCCCCGCCCAGCCCCACCCACGGGCCGCCCAGCCCAGGGAGGTACAGAGCTGTGGCCTTCGGGGGTCACCAGGACAGGTGAGCCACTGCTTAGCGGGGCTCCCGGCTGGGCAGCTGGCCGCGGCCTCCGCCCTCCGTCTGGCTCCCCCTTCCTGTCTCTCTCCTTCGTTCCTTCTCTTCCTTCCTCTATTCCTGCCTCCACCTCTTCTATTTTTGTCCATTCCCAGCGTCCTCCCCGCCCCTCTCCCCACTTCCGCCCCCTCCCTCACCCCCAGCCCGCATTCCAGCCTCCTCCCCCGGCCTGGCAGCCCCTCCCTGGAGCCAGCTGCTGCCCCGGTGCAGGCGAGGGAGGGAATGGGCTCGGGCTGGGGTCAGAGGTCGGTGAGCAGGCCCTGAGGAGCCGGAGGGCACCCCAGCGGCTTTGGAATGTGGGCGAGGCGGCCCCCATGGGTGGGGGGTGGGAGGCGGGCCCCCTGCGGGCAGTGGGAGACAGCTGGCTGCAGCTCGTCCCACGCTCCCCACACCCAGGACCTGCTGGCACTCGCCGCCGTCCCGGTCCCCCTGGCTGCCCTGGGCTGGGGACAGGTTTGGGGGGGCTGCAGGATTCACGGGCCAGAGCCGTTTTGTTGAGGCTGCAAATACAGATGAGGCCAGGGCCAGTCTGTGCCAACGGTCACATCACCAAAGGAGAGGCCCACAGGGAAGACACAGGCCTGCCTGGCGCTACCAATCCCAGGAGGCTCTGCTGTGTGCCCCTGCCTGGATGGGGCTACCTGTGTGCCTCCTGACAGTCGCTGGCCCTGCAGGGCCCTGAGCAGCTGTCTGGGGTCCCCCAGGTGTCTCAGCCGGTCCCCAGCCCCTCCTCTCCTGTCCCCCCCGACCGTGCTGCCTGGGAAACACCCCCAGCCCTGGGCAGAGGATGCCAGGGGCCCCTCACTCTCACAGCGGCCCTGGCACCTGGGGCCGCCTAGCCTGTCCCTCTCCCAGCCCCAGCACGGGGAGCCACTTGGCCAGCTTCGGGTCCTCGTGGGCGCCGTGTGCACCAGTGCGTGCCCGTGCGTGTGCCAGCGCCTGCCTGTGTGGAGTCCTGGCAGGACAAGCATGTGCCCAGGGCCGGGCACAGTGCGTCTGTGTCCAGCCAGGCTGCTGCGGCGGCCGTGGGTGTGCACGTGTGCCCGGGCTTCCCCTCTGAGCTACTGCAGTGGCCCGGGCTGCGCCCCAGCAGATGGGGCCTCCACATTCTTGGGCCGTGACTCAGGCCTGCGGGGAGGGGCTGAGTCACTGGGAGCTTGGAACCCAGCTGGGTGTCCCCCCACCCCGCCTGAACAGAGACCCCAACCCCCTCCCCGAACAGGAACCCCCGGGGGGAACCTGGACCCCACTGGCTGACTGCTGGTGCGCACGCACGCGCGCACGCACGGGGAGGGGCGGGTTCAGCTCCTCCTCCCCCAGGCTCCCTATCCTCGGGAGGCCCGGCGGGCCCACCCCAGGGACATGAGTCACGCCACCAGACGCTGCCCACCCTGGTCACGCACGCACGCACGCACACCGGCCTCCTCTCCCCCGCCGCCTGCCACATCTGCATCCGCACCCGAGCCCCCTGGGTCCTCGTGCAGGGGTGCCCGGAATGGACACGCTCCGCTCCGACGTCGCCTGCACAGCGACGCGTCCAGGCCGGCTCTCAGGGCCACACAGGCACTGTGTGTCCAGTCATGTGAGCCACACCTGGCACCACGCACGCGCCGGCTCCGCATCCCCCACCCTGGCTCTGGGCCCCGCGGGCTTGGGCCAGCTGGGCATGCTGGAGCCCCGGCCAGGGCTGTGCCACTTCGGCGCCCCCGCCGGGCGGCCGCCAGGTGCACGGTCCAGACCCCGCCTGGCCGGGAGGGGGCGGTAATTACGCAGCCCCGGGGCCCCACCCCCCACGCGCCTTTTATCCTCGGCCACGCCTGTCCTGGGCCCAGACGCTCATTACCGCCTCCCGCCCGGTCATTAGCCGGGGTCGGGGGAGGGCCCGGCGTCCGGCAGACCCGGCCCCGCGGGGAGGGCGGAGTGGGGGCGCGGGAGCGAGCGTTCCCGCCCCCGTCTCCTTGGCGACAGCGCTGCGGGGGGAGGGGTTGGTCCTGGAGGTGGGCCGCCCGGGGCGGGGGGCGGATTTGTGAATGAGCCGACGGGGCCTAGGGCAGACGGCGCAGCGCGGAGACCAGAAACTGCTGCGCCCGGCGCGGCGGGCCCGGAATAGCAGCCTCGCCCCCGCCCGGCCCGGCTATTTTGAGCCCCCTCCTCCGCCATCGCTGGAGCGAAGGCGCGGGGCGCACTGTGGCAGCGAGGGGGCACTCGGAGCCGCGACGTGGGCAGTGTCCTCGCTCACCGGACGCCGGGGGGCTGGGGGCGGCAGAAGGACCCACTCCCCTTCCCGCCCGTCCCACCCTGGGCTGCGAGGAGGGTGCCCGGAGCCTGCGGGCCGGACTTCAGAAAGGCCGGGGCCGGGGCTCCAGTGCGGGCCCGCAGCGCCCTCTCGTGTCCGCGCCCGACGGCGCGCTCCGGGCGGGGGTCTCTAGGACTGCAGGGGCTCCCCCGAGATCGCCTCCCGCGCACCGCGAGCGCAGGTGCACACCGCGCCAGGGGCGGTGCACGGAGGGCAGGGGTCTGCGGGGACGCGGGGCGGCTCCGTGCAGCCCAGGACCAGGAGCCGGCTCGTAGTAAAAGACCAGGCGTGCAGGCTAAATCCATGAATGAACGCAGGGCCCTTCGCGAACCATTAAGCCGGCTCGCGGGGCGGGACCCCCGCGCCCACCACCCACCCCCGCGGGGGCCTCTCTGGGGCAGGCGGCCCCCTGCCCTGACCCTGCTGCGGGAGCAGACGGGAAGCGGCCTGGTGGCTCCTGGGCTGGGCGTGTCCACCTGGGTCCAGGGCTCCAGGGGTGGGCGGTGCGGGAAAGCTGCTCCGTTTAATAATCGCCCTGCGTGAGTGGCTGACGCAGCAGCTGCTGCTGACGGAGTTGGGGGGGGGGGGCGGCGATGACTCAGGCAGCTGCTCCCTGGGGAAGGGTCCCTGCCGGCCACCTGGCCGCCCACGTCCCTTGCTGGGTCGGCTCGACCCGCTGCAGGGTGGGAGCGAGTCTGTTCCCAGGATGAGCGATGTGAGCGCTGGCGCGCTCAGGGTCTTCCGTGGCCAGGGGTGCAGCCTGAGCGCGCGAGGTGGGCCCCGGGGCAGCTGGCCGCGCCGCGGGTGGGCTGTGGGTGTCCCCTGCCGCGTCCGGCCAGGTGAGTGACACACCTGGCGAGGGCGGAGCCAGTTTGGGTGGGAGGTAGGCGTAGGCGCAGGTTGAAGTCGGGGATGCCAAAGTGTAGGGTAGCAGGGAGAACTGTGTGGCTGCCAAACACGGAATGTGGCTGCGTGGGGCTGTGTCCGAGCTGGTGGGGTTCGGGGGGCTCTGGGGTCCCTCGGGGTGTCTGTCGTTCGGCGGTCAGCTGCAGGGGGCGTGCGTGGGCTGGATCGGTGGAACACTGCAGGGTTGGGGCTTCAGCGGCCTGCGAGCGTCCCCGAGAGGTCAAAGGTCTCCGGAGCCAGTCCCGGGAGGCCTCTTTGTTCGCCGCCGCAGGCCAGGGGGCGGGGTCGCGGAAGTGGGTCAGCCCCGCCCCGCCGCGCGCCGGCCACGCCTCCGCGCACGTGGGCGGAGGACTGCGGACTGGGAAACGTGGCGACCAATCGGCGCGCGCGGCGCCAGCGCGCGGCAGGAGGCGGAGCCGCGGTAGGCCCAGCCCCCAGCTCATGAATATGCGGCATGGCCACCCCCTCTGCGGTCTCGGATTGGCCCGCGCAGCGCAGGGGGCGGCATCAGGGGGCGGGGCCTGGCAGCGGAGTATATAGGTCCGGGCTCGCGGGCGCCCCCCTTCACTCGCACGTTAGGAGGCTCGTGTCGTTGCCGCGTTCCGGTTTTCCGTGTGCGTCAGGGACTTGCCCGGCTCGGTGGTGAGGGTCCTGGCGGCGCTGCTGGGAGGAGCCCGAGGCGGGGCAGCGCGGACACGCCCCCTGGAGGGGGCGGGGCCGGGGCGGTCCCGGGTAGAGCCCGCCCGGGCCGGCGGCCAGGGGCGTCGAGGGTGACGGGGCCGGGCGGTGGTCGCAGGGCGTCCCCACCTCGAGCAGGCCCGCGACCCCGGCCGCAAAATGGCGGCCGCGAGGTGGAGGCTGCGCCGGGCGAAATGGCGGGAGCGCCCGGTGCCCGGATGGACGGCGCAGCCCGCGCGTGGGGCGCATGCGCGGCGGCGGGGGGCGTGCGCGGCCGCTGTCCGCTGTGGGCCCGGTGACCCCCCGTTGGCTGGGGGCTGTGGTGGGCGCGGCCGGGGCGGGCGGGGGTCGGCCCCTGAGGGCTCCCGCTGTCCGCGCAGGCCGCCATGGCGTCGGACGAGGGCAAGCTGTTCGTGGGCGGCCTGAGCTTCGACACGAACGAGCGGTCGCTGGAGCAGGTGTTCTCCAAGTACGGGCAGATCGCGGAAGGTGAGGCGGGGGGCGCCGGCCGGGGGGGGGCGCTGACAGCAGGGGCGATGGCCAGGGGGCGATGGCGGGGGGGACGCTGACCGCGGGGGCGCTGGCCGGGGGGGGCGCTGACAGCGGGGGCGATGGCCGGGGGCGCTGGTGGGAGGACGCTGACAGCGGGGGCGCTGGCCCGGGGGGCACTGTCCAGGGGGCGATGGCCGGGGGGACGCTGACAGCGGGGCGCTGGCCGCGGGGCTCTGACCACGGGGGCGCTGGCCGGGGGGCACTGTCCAGGGGCGCTGGCCGGGGGGTGATGGCCGGGGGGCACTGTCCAGGGGGCGATGGCCGGGGGACACTGGCCGGGGGGACGCTGACAGCGGGGGCGATGGCCGGGGGGACGCTGACGGCGGGGGCGATGGCCGCGGGGCGCTGGCCGGGGGACGATGGCCGGGGGGCACTGGCCGGGGGGACGCTGACAGCGGGGCGCCGGCCGGGGGGCGCTGGCCGCGGGGCTCTGACCGCGGGGGCGCTGGCCGGGGGGCACTGTCCAGGGGGCGATGGCCGGGGGGCGCTGGCCGGGGGCACTGGCCGGGGGGCGATGGCCGGGGGGACGCTGACAGCGGGGCGCTGGCCGGGGGGGGCACTGACCGCGGGGGCGCTGACCGCCGGCCTCTCGCACGCGCGCAGTGGTGGTCGTGAAAGACCGGGAGACGCAGCGCTCGCGGGGCTTCGGCTTCGTCACCTTCGAGAACGTCGACGACGCCAAGGACGCCATGATGGCCATGAACGGCAAGGTGCGGCGCGGGCGGCGGCGGCGGGCGGCCCCGCGGGCTGGCCCTGCGCGCTGACCCTGCGGCCTCCGTCCCCAGTCCGTGGACGGGCGGCAGATCCGCGTGGACCAGGCCGGCAAGGCGGCGGACGGCCGCTCCCGAGGGTACCGAGGAGGCCCCGCCGGGGGCCGGGGCTTCTTCCGCGGGGGCCGCGGCCGCGGGCCGTCCAGAGGTGAGTGCGGGCGGGGCGGCGGCTGGACGCGGGCCGGGCCTGCGGGCGCCGGGCTCACGGGCGGCCTGTGTGTGCAGGAGGCGGGGACCGCGGCTACGGGGGCAGCCGGTTCGAGTCCCGGAGCGGGGGCTACGGAGGCTCGAGGGACTACTACGGCAGGTGAGCGGGCGGGGGCGGGGCCGGGGCCGGGGGCGCGGCCTGGCCGGCGCCTGACCGCCGTGTCCTTCTGCAGCCGGAGCCAGGGCGGCGGCTACGGGGACCGGAGCTCGGGCGGCTCCTACAGAGACGGCTACGACAGCTACGGTGGGTGCCGCGCGGGGTGCGGCCGGGGCTCGGGGCCTGCCGGCGGCTGCGCCGAGGCCTCGGGCACGGTCACCACGCCGTCCTCTGGGCCTCGGCAGCCAGGGCACCCAGAGCCCAGCGCCGCGGCCCGAGAGGGAGCTGCCCGCGGTGTCTGCGGGGCGCACCGGCCGGGGGTGGGCGTGGCCGCTGCGGCTGCCGCGTGGGGCCTTCACACTGCCTGCTTGTTGTCCTCAGCTGCCCACGAGTAAAGTCCTGCTCGAGACGTCCCGCCCGCGGCTCTGAGGATTGCGGAGCCCCGCCCGGCCGTCCCGTGTGGCGCACGCCCCTCCCGTGCGCACCGCGGCGGCCGCGGCTCCGCTGGCCCGGGACCGGCTGTGCGGGGTCGCGGCTCTGCTGGCCGCCCTGGGCCCTGGCCGGTGTTTTTCCTCCAGAAACAGCCGGGGTGGCGTGGGTGTTCGGGTCTCACTTCCTCGAGTTTTGCTTTTTGGTTTTTGTTTTTGGGGTTTTGTACGGCTCTCTGCTCCTTTGGAACGCGGCGTCCACTCAGGGCGGCCGGCTGCGGCTTTCCCAGCCCCGTGGAGTGTGGTGTGGTGGACGCCACGCGGGGCGGCCCCCGTGGGGCTCTGAAGACTGTGCCGCGGCGGCCGTGCGGCTGTACGCGGTTCCCCTGGCTCACGAAGCCGATTAAAGCCCGTGTGACACCTTCCCCACGCTCCCGTTGATTGCGCACACTCGCGGGGCGCGCGCGCGGCCGGAGCGAGGAGGGCCAGGGCCTGGGCAGCTCGGGGGGCCAGCGCCCAGCGCCCAGCGCCCAGCGCGGTGCCCGGGGCGGGGCGGGGCGGAGCAGGGCGGCGGAGTGGCGACCTGGGCGCCGCAGGGGCTCGGCCGTCCCTTGAGGCCCACGGACGCCGCGGCCTGGAGGACGGAGCGCTGCGCCCGGCACCGCCGCGCCCTGGCTGGCCCCCGTGGACGCGGCCCTGTAGCTCGAGGTAACCGCTGCTGGCGCCCCCTCGAGCCCCCTGAGGCAGCACCCCAGGGGCTTCCTGCGGCTGGTTTCCGCCTTTTCCTTTTTTCCTTTTTTCAAATGTTTTAAATGAAGCCGGCGTGGAGTCTGGCCCGGCTGTCGCCCCCCCCCCCCCCCGCCTGCAGCGACCCGGAAGAGCTTGGAGACCCGAACCTGGCCCCCAGGTCCTTGTTGGAGGACAGTCTGACAGGCCGAGCCGAGCTCTCAGGCCGGTGGACACCACACCAGTCTGAGCAGCCCCGGCCCAGTGGGCGGTGCTGGCCCTGGCCACGCCCTCCCAGGCCCGGCCCAGGCGGCCCCCGACAGCCTGGAGACCCCTGGGAGCGTGGGCGGTGTGGGCGGGGCGCTCCGGGGCCGGGGGTCACGGTCCTGTGCTTGGCAGGTTGAAGGGGACCCCGCCGGGGCGCGGGGCGCGGGCACGGTGAGCAGTTTCCAGGACCCCACGAGCCGCTGGCCCACCGGGACCCGATCTGGAGCCGCGACACAGGCGCCTGACCCCAGGCTGGAGCCGCCGGGTGCTTCCAGGTGGGCGACGGGGGCAGGGGGAGGCCTCCCGGGGCTGGGCGGGGGGCGGGGGGCCTCCCGCGCCGGCCTCACGGTCTCTCCCTCTGTTGCAGGAGCGGCTTCCCCTGCGGGCTCCGCGCGGGGCCCCCAGCGCCCCTGGCGCCCGTGGAGTCGGATTTGAATAAAGGCGCTCGTGTGCACCCAGGAAGCCGAGTCTGCTTGGGGGTGCGGCCGGATGGGGGGGCAGGAGCCCAGGCAGGGAGAAGCCCCTGACCTCCGCTGAAGGGGGCGGCAGCAGGCGACCGTCGGCCCTCGCTGCCCAGCGGTGGTGGCCAGGGTCGCAGCGGGGCTGCACAGGCCGGGACTCGAACTCGCCACGGGCCGACTGCCTCCCAGCCCAAGGAGGGCAGAGGCCTGGCTGCCGGACCCTCCGCTGGTCCCAAAGCCCGCGGCCAGCAGCAGTCGGTCAGTGCAGTGGCCGGCCGGGCCCAGGCCCTGGGTGTCCTTGATCCGGTCCAGGCTGCCCGCACCCCCTCCCGAGACCCCTGTGCCCTGGGGGCTGGGGCGGCGGGGGTCGGGCCTGCCATCACGGGGCGGGGGCACGTGGCCGGCAGCGGGGGCGAAAGGCCAGGCCCAGACGCGGGGGGGGGGGGAGGCAGGGGTGGGGCCGGCTCTGTGGGCGTCCACGCGGGCCCCGCCCACTCCGGGCCCCGCCTCCGACGGCGCTTCCGGGCTGGGCCCCGCCCCCGGCGGCCATTGGCTGGCGCCGCCCCCGCGCGCCTGAGTGACAGCGGCGGGGCCGCGCGGCCGCTTCCGCCGGGCCATGGGACCGCGCGTGCGGCTGCCGCTGCCGCTGCTGCTGCCAGCGCTCCTACTCGGGGCCGCGGCGGCCACGCCCTCGCCCCCGCGCTCTGCGCAAGCCAGGCTGTCGCCTCCGCCCGCCGTGACGAACGGGAGCCAGCCGGACGCTCCGCACAACAGCACGCGCGCGTGGCCGGCGGGCGCGCCGGGCTCCGCGCTGCAGCGCTCCTTCTACGTGGTCATGGGCCTCGGCGGCCTGGCCGCGCTCTACTTCCTCATCCGGGCTATCAGGTGCGTCAGGCGCACGCCGCCGCCCCGCTGCGGCCAATGCGCGCGCGCCCCCTCGTCACCTGATAGGCAGCGGGCTCCGCCCCCCGGTGGGCGTGGCCTGCAGGCACGCCTGCTACGGCCGATACGCGCGCGCCCCCCTCGTCACCTGATAGGCAGCGGGCTCCGCCCCCCGGTGGGCGTGGCCTGCAGGCACGCCTGCTACGGCCGATACGCGCGCGCCCCCTCGTCACCTGATTGGCAGCGGGCTCCGCCCCGGGTGGGCGTGGCCTGCAGCCTTGCCGCGCGGGAGCCGCCGAGGCCGGGGAGTGCGAAGCCCTGTCCCGGCCATCGCCCCCTCCCGCCCTCGCGTCCCTGCTGGGACTGCGCCCGCCGCACCCCGCGCCGTTCCCTCCCGGAGAGCGGAGAAGTCGCTTTGCTTGCAAAGGGCGCGGCGCCTCGACCCCTGTCTCCCCTGGGTGCCTGCCCCGGGGCCGGCATCGCGGGCAGCCGCCCCTGGCTGCACCTGCAAAAGGCGGCGCCGTGGGGTCAGGGCTGGGGGCTGGAGACGGGGGTTGGAGCTGGGGTCGGGGCTGGGGTAAGAAGTTGGGGCTGGGGTCGGGGGTTGGGGCTGGGGTCAGAGGTTGGGGTTGGGGGTTGGGGGCTGGGGTCAGGTTGGGGCTGGGGTCGGGGTTAGGGGCTGGGGTCAGAGGTTGGGGGCTGGGGTCGGGGTTAGGGGCTGGGGTCAGAGGTTGGGGCTGGAGTCAGGGGTTGGGGCTGGGGTCAGGGCTGGGGTCGGGGGTTGGGGCTGGGGTCAGGGCTGGGGTCAGGGGTTGGGGCTAGGGGCTGGGGTCAGGTTGGGGCTGGGGTCGGGGGTTGGGGTCAGGGGCTGGGGTTGGGCGTGGGGGCTAGGGGCTGGGGTCAGAGGTTGGGGGCTGGGGTCGGGGCTGGGGGCTGGGGTCAGAGGTTGGGGCTAGGGGCTGGGGTCAGAGGTTGGGGTCAGGGGTTGGGGCTGGGGTCAGAGGTTGGGGTCAGGGGCTGGGGTCGGGCGTTGGGGCTGAGGTCAGGGCTGGGGCTGGAGTCGGGGGCTGGGGTCGGGGGTTGGGGCTGGGGTCAGGGCTGGGGTCAGGGGTTGGGGCTAGGGGCTGGGGTCAGAGGTTGGGGGCTGGGGTCGGGGCTGGGGGCTGGGGTCAGAGGTTGGGGCTAGGGGCTGGGGTCAGAGGTTGGGGTCAGGGGTTGGGGCTGGGGTCAGAGGTTGGGGTCAGGGGCTGGGGTCGGGTGTTGGGGCTGAGGTCAGGGCTGGGCCTGGCCCGCCCCACGGCCGCTTTCCGCCAGTCGACAACCTGGGCCCCGTGCGGTGGGGTCTTGGTGCGGGGGTGGGCGGCTTGCATCCCCTTCCGTCTGCCTTGGACGCCGGTCATGCCGCGTGACCGGGCCCTGGGGGCGGGCTGGGCCTGCCACTCAGCGAGTCCGGACCCCGTGCAGGCTGAAGAAGCCACAGCAGCGGAGGAGGTACGGGCTCCTGGCCGACACCGAGGACTCCCCCGAGGTGGCCTCGCTGGACAGCGATGAGGAGACGGTGCTGGACACGAGGAGCCCCCGATGGTGCGGGGCTCTGCTCTCTCTGGGGCCGGGAGCGCGCGGGGAGCTGTCGGGCTGTGATGGGGGGAAGCCGCGGGGCCTCTCTGGCGGGGGGAGAGGATGGACGGGGCGAGGGTGTGGCCACGGGGCTCCCCGGGAACACCCCTGCCCCAGGCTGGGCGGGGAGCGGCGGGCGGGGCCCCCTCTCTGCCTCGCACCCACTCCCCACCACCTTCCAGATGCGAGGCGCGGCCGTGGGCGGAGCACGAGAGACAGCGTCCGGCCAGCGCTGGCCCCACCTGCACCCCTGCTGGCGTGGCGCTGGCCGCACGGAGCGTCCACTCTCAGATCTCCCGTCGGGACCCACGTCCGGTGGGGCCACCTCTGCCCCACGCACACCCTCGGACACAGCTGCGGCCTGTGCGGACGCCGCGGGGCTCTGCGCTGACCCGGCAGCCGACGGCCGAGGCCCGCTGGGCGGGTGGACTGAGGGACAATAAACACGCAGTGGCTCTGTAGCTGGTGTCCAGCCCCGTGGTGACCCCGCACCCACGCGCCGGCTCAGCTGCCCGAGGGTTAGGTCAGGACAGCCCCTACTCCGGGCTGCCGCGCCATCGCGGGTCCCCTGGGGGCCGGACCCCCGGTTGGCTCCCTGCCGCCACCCCCCTGCACCTGCTGTCCCCCGTCGCCGGGCCCCGCGTCGTAATGGGGAGCCACCACCAGGTGGCAGCCTTGTGCCATGCCGCAACCGGCCCCCTCCTCCGCCGGCCCAGGTCGGGAAGTGGGTCCCCTGGGGTCGGTCCGCTCTCACATCTCCCGCGGGACAGACCCGACCTCCCACCCACCCAAGACCCGCGCCCCTGCCCACTGCCGTGTCCCCACCCCCTTCCTCAGGCAGGCTCCCTCCCTGCCCCAGGCTCAGCGGCCACCTCCAGGAAGTCCGCCCTGACTGCCGGGCCTCGGCCTGTTCTTCCGTGGGCTCCTGCGCTGAGGAGCAGTGCCTGGGGGAGGGAGGGGTCTGGTCCCGGCCCCCACCCCCACCCCGGGCTCCCGCTGCGGCGCTGTGGGTCCCGTCCCAGCTGGCCTCCTGGCTCCGCTCCGTGTGTCCCGGCGTCTGAGCCCTGGGACGCGCTTTTAGCGGGCGGGAAGGCGCCCTCCCTGGCCCCCACCCTGTGATCCGCGCCCCTCCCCACCGCTCCGAGCGCTTTCCCGGGCTTCAAAAGGCACATTAATTACTCTAATGAGGTCAGCAGAGACCCGCGCGCCGCCATCCGGAGCCGAGCAGCGCGCGCGCCTCGGGCGGGCGGGGGGCTCCGCCCACTCCCCAGTCCCGGCCCGGCGCCCGGGCGGTAATTGGCGGCCCCTGCCAAGGTTAATGCACGATTAGCGGGGCGCACGCGGCTGACAGCAGAGGGGAGGCGCGGGGAGAGGAGGGGAGAGGAGAGGCGGCGCCGGTCCCGGCCGGCGTGCGTGTGAGAGTTCATGGCTGTGCGTGTGTGCACGCGTGTGCGCGCGCGCTCATGTGTGTGGTCGCGTGTGTGCATGCGTGCGGTCAGGTGTGCACACGCCGACACAGGAGAGCGCTCCCACGCTGAACACCCGCACTGCGTGGGCGGCTCGGGCCGTGAGCCTCAGCCTCGGGTCGGGGAAGTGGGGGCGGCCGGCCCCGCCGCCCACAGCCGCCCACAGCACCCTCCCGGGCTGGGGTCTCGACGTGACCCCCACTCTGACCCCGCCCTGGGAGCCCCCCTCCCCTGCCGCGTCCGCGCCCTGGGCACGCGTGGCTCCCAGCGGCACCTGCACTGGCCGCACACACACGCCGTGGGTGGCCGTCTACATGGACATCGAAGTCACACGAAGTCAAACCTCGGGCACCCCACCAGCGCGGGCGTGGAGGCCGCCGCGGGCAGACGGACCTCGTCCCAGGGCCCAGAGCCGGGGCAGCCGGAGCACAGAGGAGGGTGGGGGGCGGAGAGGCGAGCCGGGCAGCAGCAGGCGTGCGGTGGCCGGCAGGGTCCCGGGCTGGGCGTCGGGGGTCCTCACAGAGAACGGTGCCACCTCTGTCCTCAGTACCCGCGGGCAGCGCGGTGCCGTGTCCGGGTCTGGGGCGCACCTGTCCCGGCCGCAGGTGGGGGACGGGGCGAGGGGTCGGGCCCCCCTTGGCCCTGCTCTGAGCCTCCCCCAGCACCCGTGACCGCGCGAGGCCCGCTGCCCGTGTGGCTGGGCCGGGCTCCCGGATCCGGTGTGGGTTTGGTGCCATTTTTTCTGTAGCAAGGAATTTCTCCCTGGGTATTTTTAGCCTCCTCCAGGGCGACACAGACTTCCAAGGCCACCTCTGCCCTGCGGGCCGCGGCCCGAGGCGGACAGCGGGTGCTGGACGCGGGCTGGGGGCGGGGGCTGGGCCTCGGGTGGAGCAGACCCTCCCCAGTCCTGGACGCTCGAGCCTGGGGGGCGTCCTGGTGTGCTGACCGCCAGTCCTGCGTGATGCCTGACCCTAAATGGCCCCGTCCCCAGAGCTAGCCTGACCCCTGCCCTTGACCCCTTACTCTGCACCGGCCCCTTGCCCCACTGACCCCTGGCCGGCCGCCTCCAGCCTTGGAACGGGCAGCTCCCAACTCCAACCTCGGAGCGGGCAGGGCCTCCCGGGTTCCCCCAGCGCCCACTGGCCGGGCAGGGGTCCCCAGAGCAGCCTCGCCCGCGGCCAGGCCTCGGAGCCGCCCTGCCCGGGGCCCCGTGTCTGGGAGCGGCCAGCGGCGGGCGCGGGGAGGTTGAATGGGGGACGAGCCGCCTTTGTTCCTGTCCCCGCTCGGGCTCTGACCTTGAGAGGGAGACGAGAACAGAGAATCCGCTCGGCGGCGGTGGCGCCGGCTCGCGCCTCGGTGGCCCCTGCATGCAAATGAAGCTTTGCCAAGGTGGTCCCCTCACCCGCGGCTCCCCCTGCACAGGGGCGAGTCCTGCGGGGCCCGGCCCACCCAGCCCTCTACCAGGCGGGGAGGGGGCGCGGGCACAGGGCAGAGGGAGCTCCCAGAATGCCCACCCTGAGCCAGGCCTGGCCCACGGCCTGAGCCGGGATGCCCTGCCGCTCGGCGGCCCGGCAGGTGCGTCCAGGCTCCTGGGCCACCGCGGGCGGCTGTGGTCGGTCAGGGAGCAGGACCTGAAGCCCAGGTCCCCCAGAGCAGAGGCGCTGGGTTCAGACCCTCACCCGGGTGGGGCAGGCCTCCAGGAAGAAGGGCAGGACACGGCCCGGCGGAGGAGCGGCGGACGCAGGCCACACGGCCCCCGCACGGCAGAGACGGGGCCCAGGCCCCCGGGCTCGGCGGCCGCAGGGCGCTCGCGGCGGGGAGCTCGGGCTCCGCAACACTGGCGGCCACGGCCAAGGCTGCAGAGCCCTGGTGCACACACACCCCAGGCCTGGCGAGCCTGCCGGCGCCCGGCACCCTGTGACAGCCTCCCCTCCACGAGCCTGGGTGGGGCAGAGCCGGAGGACAGGGCCCCGCTGCTGGCCCGCGGGAGGGGTCGCTGCGAGTGGGCTGCCCAGGGCCAGCGTGGGGCCCGCTCTGCCCATGACCCAGGGCCAGGGCCCTGTCCCCCCGCCTCTGCCCGCAGGGCCCTGTCCCCCCCGCCTGTGCCCACAGGGCCCTGTCCCCCCTCCTCTGCCTGCAGGGCCCTGTCCCCCCCCGCCTCTGCCCACAGGACCCTGTCCCCCCCCTGCCCACAGGGCCCTGTCCCCCCGCCTCTGCCCGCAGGGCCCTGTCCCCCCCCCCGCCTCTGCCCGCAGGACCTTGTCCGCCCCCCCGCCTCTGCCCACAGGACCCTGTCCCCCCCGCCTCTGCCCACAGGACCCTGTCCCCCTGCCTCTGCCCGCAGGGCCCTGTCCCCCCCCCTCTGCCCGCAGGGCCCTGTCCCCCCTCCTCTGCCTGCAGGGCCCTGTCCCCCCCCGCCTCTGCCCACAGGGCCCTGTCCCCCCCTGCCTCTGCCCACAGGACCCTGTCCCCCCCGCCTCTGCCTGCAGGGCCCTGTCCCCCCCCGCCTCTGCCCACAGGGCCCTGTCCCCCCCCCCGGCCTCTGCCCACAGGGCCCTGTCCCCCCCTCCTCTGCCTGCAGGGCCCTGTCCCCCCCCCGCCTCTGCCCACAGGGCCCTGTCCCCCCCCCCCGCCTCTGCCCGCAGGGCCCTGTCCCCCCCGCCTCTGCCCACAGGGCCCTGTCCCCCCCGCCTCTGCCCGTAGGGCCCTGTCCCCCCCCGCCTCTGCCCACAGGACCCTGTCCCCCCCCCTGCCCACAGGGCCCTGTCCCCCCGCCTCTGCCCGCAGGGCCCTGTCCCCCCCTGCCCGCAGGACCCTGTCCCCCCCCCGTCTGCAGGACCCTGTCCCCCCCGTCTGCAGGGCCCTGTCCCCCCCGTCTGCAGGGCCCTGTCCCCCCCCCCGTCTGCAGGGCCCTGTCCCCCCCGCCTCTGCCTGCAGGACCTTGTCCGCCCCCCCGCCTCTGCCCACAGGGCCCTGTCCCCCCCCTGCCCACAGGGCCCTGTCCCCCCTGCCTCTGCCCACAGGGCCCTGTCCCCCCCGCCTCTGCCCGCAGGACCTTGTCCGCCCCCCCCGGCTCTGCCCACAGGGCCCTGTCCCCCCCGCCTCTGCCCGTAGGGCCCTGTCCCCCCCCGCCTCTGCCCGCAGGACCCTGTCCCCCCCCCCGTCTGCAGGACCCTGTCCCCCCGTCTGCAGGGCCCTGTCCCCCCCCTGCCCGCAGGGCCCTGTCCCCCCCCTCTGCCCGCAGGGCCCTGTCCCCCCTCCTCTGCCCGCAGGGCCCTGTCCCCCCCCCCCCCGCCAGCAGGGCCCTCTCCCCCCTCCTCTGCCACTGGGCCCTGCGCCCTGCCCCGGCCTCTGCCCGCAGGGCCCTGTCCCCCACCTCTGCCCGCAGGGCCCTGTCCCCCCTCCTCTGCCCGCAGGGCCCTGTCCCCCCTCCTCTGCCCACTGGGCCCTGTCTCCCCCCCCTCCTAGCTGTCCACGGGCTTGCCGGCAGCCTCGCTCGCACTCGGGCTGCCCCGGCCTCCGCGGGTGGGCCGGCTGCCCCGGGCCTGGCCACCCGAGGGCCGGCGTGAGGACTGCTTTTCCCGGTCTGTAGAGAATGAACCTGGCTGGCGGAGAGGAGGGGGCGCCCCCCGCACCCCACAAGGCGGCAGCCAGCGGAGGGAGCCTTGGCTGTCAGTCAGCTCCACACCCAAGCTCAACAGGGGGCCTGGGCGGGGGCGGGGGCGGCTTTGTGTCCGGGTTTGTCCCCCGGACACTGCTGGAATCAGAGCGGGGAAACCCGGATGAGTCTCGCGCCTGCTGTCCAGGCTGGCCCTGCCCAGTCGTCTGGTCTGGGGTGCGTGGAGGGCCCCCGCGTGAGACCCTCCCAGGCCGTCCGGGTGCTGATGGGGCGCCCCTGCCGAGCTGGGGAGGGGGTCGCCGGGCCAGCCCGCTGCTGATGGGGCGCCCTGCCCCGGACGTGCCTGTGCGGGCGGGGCCTGGACGGGAGGCGCGGCGGAGGCGGGAGACCCCGGCCCAGGCCCCGTGCGGCCCGGGCGCGGCGGGAGGGGGCGCCCGCGGCCCTGCCGGCGCTCGCGCGGGACAAAGGCCGGAGCCCCGGCCCCTCCCCAGCGTGCGCGGCGGCGGCGGCGGCGGCGGCGGCCCCCGCTCCGAGCGTCTGCGCGGCCGGGTCCCGCGCCCGGGCCGCCCCCCGGCGCCCGCCGCGCCGCCGCCTGGCTTCTCGGCGCCCGAGGTCGCGCGCGCGCGGAGAGAGGCGGGGGGCGAGGGGATCTCCAAGCGCCGCCGCGCCCTCCTCGCGCCCGCCCCGCGCCCGCCCGCTCGGCGGCGGCGAGGAGGCGGAGACGGCTGGCAGGCGGCGGCCGGACCGGGGCCATGGCGCCCGCGCAGCGCCCGCTGCTGCCGCTGCTGCTGCTGCTGCTGCCGCTGCCGCCGCCGCCGCCCTGCGCGCGCGCGGAGGACGCCGCCCGCGCCAACTCGGACCGCTACGCCGTGTACTGGAACCGCAGCAACCCCAGGTGAGCGGCCGCTCGGGGTGCCGGGACCCCGCCGCCCCGCGCCCCGGCTGCGCGGGATCCCCCAGGGACTTGGCGCCTCGGAGTTGGGGGACCCGCGCTGCTCCGGGCGTGCGGCCCCGCACGGCGTCCCGCCGCCGCGCAGACTTGGGGAATGCGCACCCTGCGTTCCCCGGAGCGCCCGCGGCTCCCGGAGTTCCGGGGACCCCTCTGCGGCGCCCTCCGAAGCCCATCCCTCGCTGGACTTGGGGGGCCCCCGCAGCAGGCTCTGGAGTTGGAGGGGGTCTCCCGGGACCTGGCTGCGGGCCGTGGTCCTCGGGCCCAGGTGCGTCCCGCCGGCGGGTCCCCAGATGAACTTGAGGAAGTTGGAGCGTCCCTCCCGGGCCTCGGCGTGCGCCCCGGGGCGTCCCTGCTCCGGCGTCTGCGGGACCGGGGATCGGCCTGGGGTCAGCGTGGGAGCTGCAGCGGGGCAAGGGCCCCTTCTGCCCTCCTGGTGCTGGTGGGGAAACTGAGGCGCAGAGGGGCCGAGGCGCCGGCTCAAGGTCACGGTGAGGGGAGCAGAGCTGGAGTGGACCCGGCGGGCCGCCACCCCCGCCAGCCGCGCAGCCCCGGGCACCGAGTGCAGGGTGGGTGGAGGGCAGCAGAGCCCCCTTTCGTCCGCGCAGGAAAACTTTGCTGGTGACCGGCCGCGTCCCCCGGACCGGACGCCTGGAGCGGCCCCGGGGGGACCGTGGGAGACGGGGGTTTGGGGGTCCTGCAGCTCGCAGTCAGCCCCAGTCTCCCCAGGGCGGGGGGCCGCACCGTCCCCTGCCCCGGGTCACTCTCCCTCTCCCAGCTGCTTCCTGTGCCGGCCAAGCGCTCTCGGGAGTCGCTGTCCCCTGCTCTCCCCCACTGTCCCCCGCTGTCCCTCAAAGTTGCATAAAGGGCCGTCTTTGAGGCAGGCTCTGGGACAAGGGCGGCCAGTGTCCCGGCGTGGGGGCAGGGAACGTGTCCAGACCCCCCCCCCCGGAGTTGCCTGGCTGAGGGGTCAGGTCCCCCGGGGCGGAGGGCAGGGACCCCGGGCCTCGGCGGGACGGCCCGGCCACCACGGAGCTGTCCCAGCCGCGGCTGTGCCGGTCACATGTGGGTTTGATTAAGGCTCTGCCCTGTCGCTGGCCGCACGGGGAGCCCGGCGGGCGGCTCTTCCAGCCCAAGTTTTCGGTTTCAGCCCCGGAATCCGCCGTCCCCGGCGTGGCTTGTCCTTTGTTCTAGCAAACGCCAAAGGCTCGGGGAGCCGGGAACGGAGACGGAAGGGGGTCCCCGGGGCCGCCCCGCTGCCCCCACCTGCCACGGGGGCGAGCCCGGCGGCCGGGCAAGCCCTCGGCCGGGGCAAGGCGCTGACCCCCGTGCCTGGCCTGGGCCGGCCACTTGGTCACCTCCTGTTGCTCTGTGACCTCGCCGCTCTGGCCGCTGCCCACGGGGACGGCCTGTGAGGCTGCAGAGACCCTGGCAGCACCGGGCCTTCCTCAGCCTCCCCGTCCTCTGCCTCCTTCCTGGGGCTTCCCGGCTGCTGGCCACAGTGCCCAGCCCCCCGCAGCGGGACCCACGGCCTGGGCAAGCCCCCAGCAATGCTGCGGAGCGGGGTCCTCGGCAGCCTGGGGGCCTCCCCGGAGACCCCAGGGCCAGGGCCAGCCGGGCCAGAAGCTGTGCCCGGGAGCACCCGAGAGGACTCCTTGATGGACCGAACCCCGGGGAGGAGGTGCCCGGCGGCCCCCGCCCGGGCCGAGGGGCGGGGGGGCGGGGGCCCTGAGGCCGGGGGCCGGCACACACGAGGTCGGAAGGGGCAGTCCCAGATGAGGTCCGGTCCAGCCCCGGGGTGGGGGCCCCCAGGCACAGCCGCGCGGCAGGGAGGCCACCGCCCTCCAGCCGGCCGGCCGGCACCTGGGCTGAGGCAGACGTGCGTGTGCGGCCGGGTCCCGAATTACCTTCTCCCGCTTGGAACGCGTTTCCTGCGCACGCATGGCTGCTGGAGGTCGCTGAGGGAGCGCCCCCCACCCCTCTGGGCCGCTCTGGGGGGGGGCCCCGCGGCCGGCCGGCACCCTCACCGCTCGGCTGTCGGCATCCGTTCAGCCAGCCCCATCTTGGGCTGGGCCACCCTGCGCTGACTACCGGGCCTCTCTGGAACGCGGCATTCTGTGTGCGTGTGCCCCGCGCCTCCGCGCAGTGGGAGGGGTGCATCCGTGTGCGTGTGCCCAACGCCTCCCGTGCAGCCCCGGTCACACTCAGCGGCAGTGTGGCTGCATGTCCTCGTCCACCACATGTGGGTGTCCTGGGGGCCCCAGAGCTGCAAGTCTGTGGTGGGGTACAGCGTAGCTGGCTGTCTCACGTGTCTGCATGACTGTGCACGCGTGCCTGTCTGCACACCGAGCGTCTGCAGGGCTGGGGCACACGGGCGTATGCGTGTGTCATGTGTGTGCACAGCTGTGTGTGTCTGCAGCGGCTGGGGCACACGGGCGTATGCGTGTGTCATGTGTGTGTCTGCAGCGGCTGGGGCACATGGGCGTATGCGTGTGTCATGTGTCATGTGTGTGCTCAGCTGTGTGTGTCTGCAGCGGCTGGGGCACACGGGCGTGTGTGTGTCACGTGTGTGCACAGCGGTGGGGGGTTCCGTGCCTGTGGCCATGCGTGTCTGTCTATGGTCTTTGTGGGGGCGGCTCTGGCTGCCCCCCGCCCCGGCCCTCACACTGGTGGCCCTGTTTGCCCCCCGCCCCCGGAGACAGTGCCAGAGCAGGGACCACGGGCAGCCCCGCATCACGGGAGAGCCACAGCCCAGCGCCCGGCGGTGCCGGCCCGGTGGAGGCACTGGGACTGGCAGCTGCCCCCACCAGGCACCCTGGGACCCGATGCCCTCTGTGTGGCAGCGTCCGAGCCGCAGGGGCCTGGTGCCCGTGGCCGAGGTGACAGGCGTCCCCTCCCCCAGTCTGGGGACCCGGCTTTGGAGGGGGTGACGCTGTTTGCTGCATTAGGGTTTTTTGTCTTGAAGAAGCCCGTATGGCAGCTATGGGGGTGCTTGGAGACAGGCGGTGGGTCAGGGATCGGGGCTGGCGCGCGGGCCTGGGGGCCTGGGGCTCGGACCCCGGGGTGGGGGCCCAGGTGGGAGCTCCGGGGGCAGCTGGCTGCTCCGGATCCTGCGGTTCCTTTGTGATGTGGGCCGGGGCGGCCCTGCATGAAGCCAGGGCTGGGCTGGTGGGAGCCGGGCGTGGTGTGGACGGGTCAGGCGCAGGTGTGGTGCGAGGGGCCGGGAGGACCCTGCCCAGGGAGGGGCGTGGGGGCGGCTCCTGCTGTGGGAGGAGTTCCGGGTGCCCTGGCTGGGCTGCCATATCCAGCCCGTGTTCCAGCCCGCGGCGAGGTCTCTGTCTGGGACCCCACGTTCTCGCCAGCCCCGGCGTGCAGATACAGGCCCAGGCTTGGGGTCCGTGGGCACTGGCTGTCCACACGCTGGGGTCTGACCTCCACCTGTCCTCTCAAGGGTCCGCGGACAGCTCTGAGGGTCCCGCAGGGTCATGGGCAGAGTGGGTGCGCTCAGGGCACAGGTGCGTGCGTGGGGCTGGGGGCTGGCGCTGCGGGGCCCGTGGCCTCCCCGTGGGTCTGCTCCGTCCTGGGGCTGTGACCCGAGGCGGGGAGTCCGGCGGCACCGCGGTTGCTTTTGGGGGGGTTGCTCTTTCGGCTGCTCCCCTCTGCTGTCCACGCGGGGCGGCTGCCTCTGTCCCCGTCCCCGCCGTGCGGCCACCACGGGCAGGGAGCCACAGGACTGGCGTTCCAGCCGGAACCAGGCCCTGGGCTCCGCCTGCTCCGTGCCAGCGGCCGTGGGGTTATGTGCCTCGGTCTCCTCGAGCGGGCCCCGTGGATGGCGTTGGCCTCCAGGTGCCGCCTTCGCCCGGCAGCAGAAGTGGGCCTCCCAGCACGGCACACCCCGGCGCCTGCCCTGGGGGTCGGGCGCCCCCGGCTCACAGACAAACGCCGAAGCCCCCGCGAGAGAGGCATTCGTCAGCTTCCGGGGAGCCGGGCACAGGCGAGGTGTCGGGGCCAGCCGGGTGCGCTGGGAGGGCGTGCAGGGCGGACCGGGGACCCACAGCCTCGGCCTGGGCTCCGCATCCGGCCGGCCGCGCCTCGCCGAGACCGCGCTCCCGCGCCATCTTTGGTTCCCGCCCGACCCGTGCGTTGGCTTCGACGCTGGGGCCCTGCCTCAGTTTGCCCTCCTACACTTCTCGTCTCCTCAGCCCCTCCGACAGCCGGGGGTGGGTGTGGAGTCCCTGTCCTGGGCCAGGTCGGGTGGCCGGGAAGGGCAGGGCGTGGGAAGGGGCCGGGAGGGCCCGTGGAGCGGAGGTGAGGCCGGCGGAGGGCGCAGGGGGATACAAAGCGCGCTAGCGATGAAAGGTCCCCGTGGGCCGTCAGCCCCGCGGTGAGGGTTCCGTCGGCCTCTCCTGCTAGGCACCCGCGTACCCCTGCCCAGGAGCGAAGGCTTCGTCTCACTCTCGGGGCTGGGGTGGGAGGGCTCGGCTCGGAGCGGGCGCCCCCCGGGCAGGGGCAAGGCGCCCGCCCCGGAGCCAAGAATGCGAACGCGGCAAGGCCGGCGCCGGGTCGGCGCTGGGGAGGGGGCGATGTCCGGCCCTGGCAGCCGGGGCTGGTGGGGGGCTTCCCTTAGGACCTGCCTGCCCGGGGCCCTCGCCCCCCACACCTGGGGCTGCTCTCTGCTCCCAATTCTGGCAAAGTCCTTGAACCCTTGGTCTTTTTAGGTCTGCAGCCATCGGGTACCGCTGTGCACCGGGCCAGTGCGGGCCACTGAGTAGGAGCAGAGAGCCGAAAGGCACACCTATGGCCGGAGGGGCGGGGGGAGCGGGCAGGGACAGGGACGGGCACAGGCAGGAGCAGGTGGCCGGGAGGGAGAGGAGAGGAGAGGAGGAGGAGGGTGGGCCTCATTCTCAGCTCTGAGGGACGCTGGAGGGCTTCGAGCCCCCAGCCCCAGAGCCTGGCCTACAATGGGAACAGCCGGTCCTGGGTTTGGGGAAGTCGGGGTTCTCCCCTGGGCGTCATCGCAGGAATGGGGCAAAACCGAGGGCTGGGTGGGGGTAGCCAGATCCCACCCACCCCCCACTCCCTGGGTCTCCTGCCGTGGCCACCCCCGTGGGGCCCGGCTGGGTGTGGCAGGTCCCCAGGCAGGCACTGGGTGCAGCCGCCGTCCCCCACCGGTCGGTGGGCCTTGCACGGGCCAGGAGAGCAGCCGAGGTGTGGACCGGGAGACGCCCGTGCTGGGCGGCTGAACTGGCTGTGCACAAGCCCTGGGGTCTCCGAGTGGCCGCGAGGTGGACAGGCCGGGGGGAAGCCGAGGTGTGGAGGTGGAGGTGACCCGCACGGCCCACCGGGGATAGAGCTGGGCCCGGCGGCCAGCCCCTGCCTGGAGGTCGGCTCTGCGCTTGCCCTGCCTCCGTGCCGGGCTCAGGGGTGGGGCGAGCTCCCCGTGGGTCCCCGGCAGCTGAGGCCAGGTGGGCGGTGCAGCCGGCACGGGGCGTGGGTGGGAGCCCGGCGCGTGCCCCCGCCAGGCCTCAGTTTACCCAGCCTGTGCTGCGGGCAGGGGAGCCGCCACCCCCTCGCTGCGCACAGCTTTGAAGTGCTAATCAGGGCCCCCCTGTGCCCCCCTCGGCCGGGCCGCTTTACATGACAGGGGCCCGTGGGACCGCGGCAGGGAGATCTAAGGGCTCCTGCCGCTGCAGCCCGAGGCGGTGATGGAAGGGGAGCCGCGGGTCCCACCCCCGGCTGACCTCCATCCTCCAAGGTGAGGCGGGGTCGGGAGCTCCCGGAGGACGGAGGACGGGGCATTACAGGATAAAGGCTGGCAGGCGGCGTGGGGGGGTCAGAGGCCGGGGGACAGCGGGCGGCCGCGGAGCTGGGGACGCGGAGGCACGGCTCGGTCTCGGGATCGGGAGGCTCGCGGGGGTGGCCCAGGACGGGAGGGGCGGGGCAGCTCCGAGCTGGGCAGTCCCGGGGTGCTGACGGGGTGGGGGGCCTCCTGCACACGTAGGAGAGGCGTGGACAAGGAATTCCTGTCCTGTGGAGGCCCGGGCTGCGGACCCCACGGTACAGAGATCAGCCCGCCCGGGCGCACCTGCTCACTGGCACACGGTTACCCAGCATGCCCCACGGCCCGCCTCAGGGTCCGCCCTGCTGTGCTGCTCCTGGGGACACTGAGGCCAGGGGGTGGCCGGCCAGGCAGGAGGCTGTGGGCACCGAGGCTGGGGCCGTCCACGAGCTGGGCGTGCAGCCCCGTGCGCCCCGCTGGCGACCTCCCTCCAGTGTACGCCATCCTCGCACACCTTGCTCGTCCGCTCAGCCACCCACCCCCCCTCCCGGCAGGTTCCACGCGGGCGCGGCGGGCGACGGCGGCGGCTACACGGTGGAGGTGAGCATCAACGACTACCTGGACATCTACTGCCCGCACTACGGGGCGCCGCTGCCCCCGGCCGAGCGCATGGAGCACTACGTGCTGTACATGGTCAACGGCGAGGGCCACGCCTCCTGCGACCACCGGCAGCGCGGCTTCAAGCGCTGGGAGTGCAACCGGCCGGCGGCGCCGGGGGGCCCGCTCAAGTTCTCGGAGAAGTTCCAGCTCTTCACCCCCTTCTCCCTGGGCTTCGAGTTCCGCCCCGGCCACGAGTACTACTACATCTGTGAGTGACCGCCCCGGCGCCGCCCTGGCCTCACAGGGGCCTCATGCCCGCTCCGCCCACTCTGTCTGGGTTCCCCACCAGGGACCCCGCCAGCCACCCGCACTTTGAGAACAGAGGAGGGGGCCGGCGCCGCGGCTCACTAGGCTCATCCTCCATCTAGCGGCGCCGGCACACCGGGTTCTAGTCCCGGTCGGGGCGCCAGATTCTGTCCCGGTTGCCCCTCTTCCAGGCCAGCTCTCTGCTGTGGCCCGGGAGTGCAGTGGAGGATGGCCCAGGTGCTTGGGCCCTGCACCCCATGGGAGACCAGGAAAAGCACCTGACTCCTGCCATCAGATCAGTGTGGTGCGCCGGCCGCGGCGGCCATTGGGGGGTGAACCAACGGCAAAGGAAGACCTTTCTCTCTGTCTCTCTCTCTCACTGTCCACTCTGCCTGTCAAAAAAAAGAAAAAAGAAAACAGAGGAGGGAAAGTGACCTCCAGGGCCTAGCCCTGGAGGGGGCAGCAGGGTGGACCCCACAATGTGGGGACGGACTGGGCAGGGGCCCCCAGAGACCCCCGCGAAGGCCCAGCAGGGACGGCAGCAGCGGTGGGGGGCAGGGCTCCTGTGCCGGTGGGGGAGCGGCTTGACCCTGGCTCAGCCACGGCCCCGGCTCCTGCATGGCTGGGGACGGTGGGGGGAGCCCCCCTTGGCCTCGGGCTCCCTGCCGCTGCCGCCCTGGGAGGGTGGGGGCCTGAGGGGGGCTGGGGACCCCCCCCCCAGCCGCCCCTGCGCCCTCCCTGCGCTGGTTCGGATTTTTTTCCTTGTGGAGGGGCGGGCGGGGGAAGAGGAGGCGGACACACGAAACTCCCGTAGCGGAAGAAAAATTACATTTTTCCTTCCGAGACAGGAGCTTCGTAAAGATAATTATCGTAACCGCCGTTCCTGTCTCTGACGGGGGCTATTTTTATTACACGTGGCGGCCACCCAGCACGTGGGGGGCCCTGCGCCTGGCAGGGACAGCCCAGCCGCGTCCCTGTCCCTGCCTTCGGCCGCCGCGCCCGCGTGCACTGCGCCAGCCCGGAGCCCGGGATCACCTGGCTACCCCGGTTGTGCCGACTGGCTACCACCCGTGTGCGTGCGTCGCTCATTCCTGACGCCAGCCTGAGCCGCCCTGTGCCGGGCAGGCACGGGCACCCCCAGCCTTGAGGGCCAGGGCCGGGGCTCCGACGTACAATCGGGAGTTTTATCGGTGGCTTCTCGGGACTGGGCATCCTCGCGAGGTCTTGGGGGCCAGGAGCACCTGCCTGCTAACCCTCACCCCCTCTTCCAGCTGCCACGCCCCCCAACGCCGTGGACCGGCCCTGCCTGCGCTTGAAGGTTTACGTGCGGCCGACCAGTAAGTGCTCCTGGGGCCCGGCAGCGCCCGGCCTCCCACCCCTGTGTCCTCGACCCACGGAGCCATTTTGTGCTGCGAGGAGCCAGGATTGGGAGTGGGCCGGGCCCTGCCCCGAGCCTCAGTTTACCCATCTGTGGGCTTTGCAGACCCCTGAGAGTGGAGGTGGGGGCCATGCACCTGCGTCCGGGCGGGGGGGGGGGGGGTCCCGAGCAGCTCCCGGAAGGAGAGGGCCCCCAGGGCTCTCGACCCCTCCCAGGGCGCAGGCCGGCCTGGCGGGTGGCTGTGGGTGCGCACAGGGCGCGGGCCGGGGGCGGGAGCTGACCGCCCGCTGACCGCCCGCTGACCGCCCGCTGTCCGCCGCAGACGAGACGCTGTACGAGGCGCCGGAGCCCATCTTCACCAGCAACAGCTCCTGCAGCGGCCTGGGCGGCTGCCGGCTCCTCCTCTGCACCGTGCCCGTCCTCTGGAGCCTGCTGGGCTCCTAGTCCCCGCCGGACGCCCGCCCGCCCCGACCGCCTCAGAGACCAAAACGCTCTGCCGCTCCCCGACCGGTGCTGCCCGGGGCGCGGCCGCTGGCCCAGCGTCTCCCGGGGCGTCGGAGACCCCTGCAGAGCCTCTCCACGACTTTAGCATTTTTAGTGTTATTTTTCATGGTTTTTAATTTAATTTATTCCCGCCGTCTCCCGCGTCTTGGGAGGGGCGGGGGTCCCTGGCCCCCCGGGGGAGGGGGCTCCCTGGGGACACTGGGTCTGCTCCTGTCTGCTGTGCAGACCCCCGGTGCCGGGGACAGGCCAGCCTGAGGCCGCGTCCCTGCGCACCGCCGCCCGCCCCTTGCTCCGGGTCCGGGGACAGCGCGCGGCCCGGCCACCCCTCCCGCCCCCTCGGAGGCTGCGAAGACCTTACGTTTCTGTAAATAGAGCCAGTGAGTATATACTGTGATTTATTTTTAATGTATTCCTGCGGACCGACTCGAAAGTCTTTTTTTTTTTTTTTCCCCAGCCCTTCGTGAGGGTCTTTTATTTTGGCGGGGGGTGTGGGTGGACTTTTTAGAGTAGCAGCTTGTTTCGTCTGTCGGAGCCCCCTCCCCGCGACTCTGTCGATGCTTCTGGGAGAAATGAAGACTGTACAGCCCGGTGGGGGAGGGGAGGCTGCGGGGCGGGAGCCTCCCGCGCCCCCTGCCCGGGGCGGGGCGGGGGGGGGGCGCCGCGTTTCTACAGATTCCGTCCCTCTGCCCCTCTCCTGACTGTGTTTTCTACATATTCTATATAAATCTATTTCGTGCACGGTCGCCGCCCTCCGCTCGCGGCGCGCCGGCGGGGGGCGCGGGGGCGGCGGCGCCCCGCCTGGAGCTGGCGCCCCGCCGCCCCGCCCCCACCACAACCCACTTTGGACTCTGTATTTTTTATAATAAAAGAGCAGAAGGCTGCGAGGCTGTGCCTGTTCTCCGTGTCGCACCGGCGGGGAGTGGGCCTGGCGTCCGGGCCCCTGGGCGCGGGTGGAAACCTGGGCTCTGCCACCGGGCGTGGGAGGGGGCGTGTCTCGGGCAGCCGTTCCCGGGCCTCGGCCCCTCCCCAGTGGCCGCTGGGCAGTGGACGGCAGAGGGCTTGCTCGCGGCCACAGCGGGGGCCGACAAGTGCCGCTCGCCAGCACCCGCACCGCCAGCACCTGCTGGGGCTGGGGAGAGGCGCGCAGGCCCCGGCCCTGCCCTCTGTGGCATCGCCGCTGCTCCGTGACTCAGTTTCCCCAGCCGCAGGGAGAGGGTGGGGCTGTCTCGAGTCGCACGGGGCGCCTCTGTGGGCCAGGCGCGGACCGAGGGGAGGCAGGCAGGCAGAGGGGCCGGCGCCCCCGCGGGCTCCAGGCGCGGACGCGGACCGAGGGGAGGCAGGCAGGCAGAGGGGCCGGCGCCCCCGCGGGCTCCCGGCTGCAGCCCGCCCCCTTGGCGGCAGCGTCTGGGGCGCGGTCAGCCGAGAGCGGACGCTCTTGGCCAATTAATTCAGCGGCGCTGGCCCGGGCGCCGGGCTGCCTCCTGATGAGCCGGCCGCGGCACAAAGGCAGCTGTGTGTGCCGGCCGCCCCTGCCCGCGCGGACGCGGCCGGCCGGCTGGGCAGGCCCCGGGGACCCGCTGGGGCGGGGGGCGGCTGCCCGGCCCGCGGACGGCCCTGGGGGGTCGCGGACGGGGTCCGGAGCTGACTGATGCTGTCATCACAACACAGATTGATGGATACATCATTCCCACAGCGCACTGGCCATCATGTGGAGCGCATGCCCGCGGCCCATGCCCGGCTGGTCACTGGGCTCACACAGCCGTCCGTCACGCCTGTTTCCAGAGCACCCTAACCCGTAAGGGAGGCCCCTGCCCGCCCGGGAGCCCGCCCGCGTGGCCTCCGGGTCCGCGTCTCCGAGGGCGCCGTCCTCTGGCACCAGGTGCTGGCGTTGGGCCATTTCCACCTTGTTTTTGAGACTAAGTTTTTAACGCAAACGATGACTGAGTGGGTGCAGGCGAGGACGGTGCTGTTGGCCCCCCCCCCGGACCTTGGCGCCCACTGCCCCCTGGCCCCACGGACTGCCGCTCTCCCTCCCGCGACCTCCCGCGTCCACGGGCGGCTCACAGCAGGGTCCTCGCACCCTGGAAGCCCCCGAGGGCAGAGGCCGGGTCTGTCGTGCCCGTAGCAGAGTCCCCCTGCACCTGCTGTCAGCCTCGTACCTGGCCTGCACGCACCCCTGTGCAGCCCCGCGCACCCATACTGGAGCTTCCCCTACGGGGACCAGCAGCAGCGAGGGGTGGGCACACACCCCAGCCGCGGCAGTGACACCGGGGGGTGAGGGCCCCTCGGCACAGCTGGGGAGCCCGGGCCCCCCCAGCCCCAGCCCCCAGGCTCATCGGGAAGCTGTGATACGGGGGGGGGGCCCTCAGCACAGCTGGGGAGCCCACGCCGCCCCAGCCCCAGCCCCCCGGGGCCATCAGGATGCCAGTGACCAGGGGGGTGGTGAGGGCCCCTCGGCACAGCTGGGGAGCCCACGCCGCCCCCAGCCCCAGCCCCCAGGGCCATCGGGATGCTGGTGACACGGGGGGGGGCCCTCGGCACAGCTGGGGAGCCTGGGCCCCCCCAGCCCCAGCCCCTCGGGGCCATCAGGATGCTGGTGACACGGGAGGGGGCCCTCGGCACAGCTGGGGAGCCTGGGCCCCCCCAGCCCCAGCCCCTCGGGGCCATCAGGATGCCGGTGACACGGTGGGGGGGCCCTCGGCACAGCTGGGGAGCCCACGCTGCCCCCAGCCCCAGCCCCAGCCCCCGGGGCCATCAGGATGCCAGTGACCAGGGGGGTGGTGAGGGCCCCTCGGCACAGCTGGGGAGCCCGGGCCGCCCCAGCCCCAGCCCCCGGGGCCATCGGGATGCTGGTGACACGGTGGGGGGGCCCTCGGCACAGCTGGGGAGCCCGGGCCGCCCCAGCCCCAGCCCCCGGGGCCATCGGGATGCCGGTCCCGTGCGGAGCCTTCTCTGGCCCAGAGGCTGCAGCGGGAAGCGAGTCCCCTCCCGCAGCCGGTTACTGCCGCCTCGGTGCCCACCTCGGGCAGGGGAGGGGGAGCCGAGAACCCTGCCGGCGGCTGCGGCCCTGAACCGCCTCCCCTCTGGGCTCTGGGCCTCCGCGTCTCCTCCACACGTCCAGGCGAGAAGCCCCCAGCCCCTCACCCGCCAGCCCGCACGGCCCTGAGAGGGGGGCGCCTCCAGCGGGGGGGGCACAGCTGGCAGGGGAAGCCCCCGCGGGCCCTGGCTGCGCCCCTCCGGTGCCCGGGCCTGCGCTCCGGGCGGCTCCCCTGCCGGGTGGTGCCGCTCTGTGCCCCCAGGCCCACCCTCTCCGCCCACTTCTTGTCTGTGAGGCATCTGGGTCTCGGGCACACGGCCGGCCGGGCACACGCAGGCCCTCAGGGATGCTTGTGAAAGAATGAATGCATGTCTGTGTCTGCGTGTGTGTGCACGCGTGTGTGTGCACGTGTGCGTGTGTGCATGTCTGTACGTATGTGCATGTGTGTACGCGTGTGTGTGCACGTGTGCATGTGTGTATGCATGTCTGTGTCTGCATGTGTGCGCATGCGTGTGTATGCATGTCTGTACGTATGTGCGTGTGTGAGCACGCGTGTGTGTGTGCACGTGTGCGTGTATGCATGTCTGTGTCTGCGTGTGCACGCGTGTGCGTATATGCATGTCTGTGCGTGTGTGCGTGTGGGTGTGTGTGCATGTCTGTGCATGTGTGTGCGTGTGTGAGCACGCGTGTGCATGTGCACGTGTGCGTGTGTGCATGTCTGTGTCTGCGTGTGCGCGCGTGGGTGTGCGTGTGCGTGTGCATGTATGCGAGCGCCACAGGAGGCGGCTGTGAGGCCCGGGCCCTGTTAGTTGCAGGTGGCCAGGCGGCCACTGATGGACAAACTCAAAGTGGGTTCACAGCCCAAGTCCCCGAGGAGCTGTGGATCCCAGGTGGGCACCAGCGGGGGCTGGGCACGGCGGCCAGGCCGCGCGGCTGTCGGGGAGGCCTCGCCGTCCTGTCCCCGTCCTGGCCCAGGCATGACAGCAGCCCCGGGGCCGTCGGCACCGCACTCGGGTGGGGCTGGGACTCGGGGCACGGGGCGGGCTGTGCACCCGATGGCCGCTCCCTGGGGCCTCAGGCGCAGAGGCCAGGGCGTGGACAGCAGCAGGGGGAGGCCGGGACACTGCGGGTGGATCTGGGGCGGACCCAAGGCCGTGGGTGGGGGCGGACGCCGGGCTGCGGGTTCTGAGGACCAGGGCGTGGGGGGTCCGTCACCCCTCTCCTCGGGACAGCAGTGCAGGGGCAGTACCAGCGGGCAGCGTCCCCCGCACCACGGCACAGGCAGGGGCCGCTAGGGTGGGACCTCTCCACCCTGGGTCTCCACGGCCTGCCACCCCACCCCTGATGGCCGGTGCCAGCCCCATTGATCTAGAAACGGGGACAGAGGCCGGGAGCCGGCGCACGCTAGGATGGACACTGTGGTCGCATGGGAGCTCCGGGCACGGAGCGAGACACCCCCACCTGTGCAGGGGGGCAGCGGGCGAGCCCCAGGTCCCCAGGGCCCGAGCTGTGTGCCTGTCCTGCCCAGGGCGGCCCACGAAGGCTGTCGTCCCCCTGGGCCAGCTCAGGGCCATGCCCCCTCCCCAGGGAACATTCGCGACACCCCCAGCTCTGACCTCCACCCGGGGGCTTAGCCCTGGGTCGGAGATGCCCCTCCCCCACGGGCCGTGTGGCTGGGGGTCTGGCGGCAGCAGCGCCTGGCTTCGGGGGGTCAGAGAGTCCAGTCCACAAAGTCCTTTCACCAGAGTGGCCCCTGCCTGCCTGGAGGGGTGGGTGTGGGGCAGGGCCCTCGGAGACCCGCCTCCCTCCCCGGGGTTTCGGGGCACCTCCAGGGGCGCCCTCTTGGATAAGAAGGAAGCTGAAGAAGCCCCGCCCCGAAGGGGGTTCCTGAGGGAGGAAGAGGAGGCAGAGGACAGGTGGTTCTGGCCCCAGGGCCCCGTGGAAAGGGGGGAGGGGCAGCGCCCCCTCCCCTCCTCCGCCCCCTCCCCTCGGCCCTGCTCTAAGTACTTGAAAGCTGCCTGAGGACTCTGGGGAGGGGCGGGCAGGTCCCGGGGCTCCGATGGGGGCGCCCCCTCCCCGCCAGGAACCTGACCCCAACCTCGCGCCCTCCCTTACCCCAAACCCTGCCGGGGCTCCCCAGGGCCCTCAGGACCCCGCCCCTCCCGCGGTGCCCCGCCCAGCCCCCACCCACCTCCAGGGGCTCCCTGGGTCCCTCCCGCCGCCCCCCTGGGCCCCCTGAGCTCCCGTGGGGGACAGCTTCATCCCGAGCTTTGTCCGGGGCGGGGGGGGGGGGGCGCCCAGCGGAGGAGGTGGGCGGGAGGCCTGACTTCCTGCCCCTCCCGCTTTCCCGCGGCCTGGGGTCCCGGCCTGGGCGCCCCCGCGTGTCTCCCTCCGGGCCTCGGCTTATCCACCGGGGGAAGCCGGGGACAGAGAGGGCGCCTGCCCAGCCCGGGCGCCGCAGCGGGTGGTGTGTGTGTCCCCGGCAGTGTAGCCGTCCGTGGTCCTGGGGCGGGGAGGCGGGGCGGGCGCACCGCACCTGCGCGTCTGCGCGGGGGGGGGGGGGGGGGGACCGGGGAGGCGCTGCCCGGCGCCCCTCCCCACCCAGTGTCAAGGAGGCCCAGGGCCGCCCGCGCTCCCGCACCTGCCGTGGGCGACATCCATCGCCCGGGGCTGGGCTGCACTGGACCAGCCCTGTGGCCGGGAGGGGAAACCGAGGCAGACAGCGGTTCGTTTGGTTTGGTTTTGTGTTTCGGTGGCCGCCCCTGGCTGAGGGCAGCGCTGTAGGCTGGGAGAAGCCGGGCTCTGCACCGCGGATGCGCCCCTCGCTCATCTCCCAGCCTCCGT